TTTATGTGAAGTCGTTTTTATTTTCTTCACATTTTCCTACCTATGTGATATGAAGAGAAATCTATGCCTCTGACTTCATGGTGTTCTAAGATGGCGCTGAAAAGAATTGGAACATTATGTCGGCGATTCAGATAATTTTTAATATGTGAGCATTACAAATGACACATAACTTATATATTTAAATACACATACCAAAAAAATTATACACCATGCTAATTACAATAGTTAAAGCCAGTATAAACCTTTTACCTGATAAAAAAATTTTATTTATTCCCATAAAAATAATTTTATTATACCGAAGTGTACATCAACTTAAAAGGAATATTTCAGGAGTTAAACATGAATGAAATTTATTCAAACTGAAACCTCACAAAGGTCCTTACAACTGAACACCATTGATGAAGCTCCCAAAAAGTCCAATCATGCCTAAAAATTCCACCATGCCATGGCTGCGGACAGTCACCTCTTGGGCAACATTGGACACACCATATAATGCAGCGCCACCTATGGTCATAATATCACCCTGCCACTGTCTGGGAGCTACGCAAGCCAGAAAGTGGTAGATATTTAAATCATGATTTCAGTTTACTGATATAAGTGTGTGTGTGTGTGTGTGTGTGTGTGTGTGTGTGTGTGTGAGAGAGAGAGAGAGAGCGCGCGAGAGCTAAAGCTATATTTCACATCACCTGCAAGGTCCCAAATTCTTCCTTTAAAAACATGAAACCTCATGCCATTTTTATGAATAACATTTCCCCAGTTTAATCAACACTACTCATTTGATTAAAATTTTGTATAGGATTCAGCTTTGTGCAAAAGTTTGAATGCACAGGTCTCAAAGAATCAACCTCAGTATCTCCAAGTGTAAGATGAAGAAGTGTGTATGGCAATATAGTCATATAACATGTCTCACCTGTATCTTGACTAGGATTGGCAAAACTGTCCACAGCCACCAAACCTCCGCCGCCAGCGATACACAGCAGAACTCCGCAGATGTGAGTGGCCTGGAAGCGCACTTTTAGCACCATCCAAGACAGCAGCATTACCACTGGGACACTGAAGCCATTAAGGAGCTGGAATGGATGGAATGTCACATATCTGATCAAAATGCTTCAAACTCTAGGAGAGCTTTGGGTGTATGGATGGATGGGTGGGTGGGTGGGTGTATGGGTGGGTGGGTGGGTGGGCGGGCCCTTGGGGGCAGTTTAAATGAATTGCACTTTTGGCTGGGAAAAGATCCACAAGGAATCAAAATTTGACAGAAATTTTATGAACATATATAGGTTCTACTGTAAAAAGGTTCGCTTTTTAAGATCCCCCCCCCCCCCCAACACCACCACTTTGAAAATGCTGGCAACAGCCTGTTTAAGTTCCTCTGTTTTTGCTAACCTAGATCACAAATCAGGCATTAAAACATTTGCATCCTGAGAAGCAATATTTTCATTCACAACGTAAAGCACAATTTTTTGTAATTAAAAAGTTGAAAACTTTTTTCACCTATGCCTAAGTCTGCACATTGGAGTTTGACCTGATAAATTAATTTAAACAAATATTAAAATAAATAATAATTCACAGCAGTCAATGCCTACCTGTACACTGTTGACAGTGGTGTACCTAAATGCACTGATTATTAGGTAATTAGCTTCCACATCAGCTACTGCTACCAGAAAATACTTCCAGCCACGACTTCGGAGAACAGAGCAAATATTTTGATGTTCTCTCCTAGAAGCTAGGATGGAGCCATAGATTCCACCAAGAAGACAGTAACCAACAAATGATTGAGCTAAAAAAGAAATGAAAAAAAAAATTAATAAAAAAAAAAAAACGACCATCAGATAAAGTGTTCTTTTTTCATGTCCCTATGAGGTCACATAATCATAAAATGGTTAAGTTAATTATAAATAAAATATACATATACCTATTTCATTTCCATTTCAGTTTTTTTTCATTATTCAGCCTGTAACCCCAATAAATTCAGGAGAAAAGATCCACTTGAATCAAAATTTGTTGAGAACTTTTTAAAGCAATGTAAATACTCTTTTGTCACAAACAAATTAAAGGTAAAGGGTAAAGAAAAAGCACTGATGAGACTTTTCCAACTTTTGTCAGAATTCCTACTTTTTCTGGGTCATTTGGGTCGTTCTTGTAAATCCTGTACCCTGGGCCCTCGGCCAATTTTCCTACTTTTCAGTGAGGACTGATCTCATCCCAGTATATTGTCTGGGGGGTAATAACATAGACATGACCATAACCAGAAGCTGAGTACTGACCTGTTGGGGCCTGTTGGGGCCTGAGCAGCAGGGACAGCCACTGACCTAGTGCTACAGCCTTGCCTACAGACCTGCAGAAACAAATTATTACGTACAAAACACAATGAACTTCTTAACAAACTAGATGATTAAGTTGTTGCTTGCTGTTATTGGCAGATAAATTACTCGGTATAAGGCATTGACAGACCGTATTCGACCATGCGTGTAGAGTCTGACTCGTTTTTCATCTGAAGGAAAGGAAACACTTTTAATTAAAAATGTCATCGCGTCCATTTTTGATTCGTACCTCCCTTAATATCCTTACTCAGATGACGGTGACACATTTCAATGACTATTTAATACATCAATGTCGAAAGAAAATAGACATGTTGATAACGTACGCCATCGATGTTGCTTGCTGTGGCTGTGGCATCTTATTTCAACCTCTCTCCTCTCCACCACTCCCGCACACACGCCGTGACCTATTTAAATGTGCGCGCGCAATTTTAATTCGGTGTTATTAATTTTTTCTACGCAAGTGGAAGCCGGGTTTTAACAAAGTTTATTTACTTTCTGTGCAACTCTAGGTAAACTTGTGTCAAGAGCTGATTTTAGCCATAAAGGACTTCTCCGAGTGTCAACTAGCTGTCGCTCGATCTCTTCTTGAGAGGTGACGAACTTTGCCAGGGTCAGCTACAGTACATGTACAACAGTTGTTCAAAGTGAAAGTCTTTATATATATATATATATACATGTAAATATAAGTGCACGGGTGATGAAATGCTGCCCTTAAAATCGTTGGTCTTAACCTAGTCTTCATGGTTCAACCTGATGTTATTCATCTGAGTGTGATCACTAATAGTAATACTACATGAAGTGTACATGTGGGATGTAGTATATATACAGACTCGGGAAACATTTAATACAATTACCATATTCGGTGGCGGATTTAGAGGTGGGGGAGTCAGGGGGTGAAAAATATAACACAACAATATTCCCCTCTTGAAATTAAAATGTTGACTAGCTAAACCATATGTATAGTTTTAAATTGCTTTTTGCCCGACTCTGTGTGTGTTTTTAACTGTATTAAAGGGCACCGTTTGCTCTCCAGAAAACCCAAAAATTTTCGGAGCCCTTGAAAAGGCCCCGACCCCCACACAAAGGGGGCAATGGTCAGCTTCGCATCTGAGGTCTGTCATTCTAGACCCCCCCCCCCCCTTCAAATAATCCTGGATCCGCCCCTGATACTAAACATAAACTATATCTGGATGATTTCAGACGTCAGAATATTGAACAATGCCAGTAAGAATGTTTTTACATTTTCTTTCTCATAGTCGAAATATGTTTAGCATTTGGCAAAATTTTACTGTAATTTTAGAGTAACCACAGACTTATAAAAGGTCTTATTTATACACGTATTAATTGCCTAATATAGTTTTATTGACAACCGTGAAACCAATTACTAAAATGGTTGTCTACAGCATACTATGTTTAAGATACTAGTACTAATATTGATGTTATATTACTTCATGTTTTAACTTAGAGAAATTGGCCATAATGCCGGTACTTATATGATTGCAAATTCTCTCAAAATACAGTGTTAATTGGATTAATGTTACCCAAGGCTCAAATGAAGTGATTGGATTATTAATTAAGAGAAGTAAACAGAATTTATTGCCAGGTCAGTAATTCAATCTCAAAACATGACTTAATGTCACTGCTTGTTGTCACTAAATAGAAAAGGGAATAGAAAACAACTGATGATTCTCATACCTCAAAATAGAATCAAATGAAATGAAAACAAAACTGATGAACTGAAACGACAGCTAATGAGTTTACCAAGAAATATGCTCTGTAATTCTATGCCATATGGTTGTGTGTTTAATACTGATCAGTAAGTGCACATATGTTTAAGTACTGGTAATTTTTTAATGTGTCCAATGTTTTTATGTACTAAAATTTTTTGCAGATCATTTTCAAAATCATTTTATGCTATTATTTTTTCCAATAATATTTTCGTCCCAGAAGAACCGTGTTATAGCTCATTGTAATGGAAGTAATAGCATTACAGTTTTGTCTGTGGCAGATATCACAACAACAGTTGCTATCCGTTTAGAAAAACAACATTGTCATAAAAGAGTTGATGCCAGAACACCTTTAATTAGAATAGAGCACTAAAATCTATACTTGGTTGATATGCATTGTAGAGCAATTCCAATATCATTCTCTTCCAAAGCTCATACATCATCCACATTAACAGAGGTGTTACTGCAGCACTAGGATATGTCAGCACTCTACGCTAAAGATTTCACTTTGTTTGCTATTCTCCTAAACCCGGTGCTGTCCAGCTGGAATTTTGTATTTTAGTCCAAGGCAGCTTTAGCATAGATCTTGGAGCAGTATTCCCCAGGTACTTGCAAGCTATTAACTGCAGCATAACGATTAGATGAACTGTCTGGAAGCTATAGACTGAACTGTACACTGCTCTTGCTTTTTTATTTCATCTAGTTATTCAGAAGAGCCACTGGAGAGTGACAGCTAGGATTGAAGGACTGATATCTGTGTATCTAACATTCTGGGATGGCAGAAGGAGGAGAAAAGGCGCAGTTTACCTGTGAAATCTGTGGCCAGGAAGGGTTAAGTGAGGAAGACATGCGGTCCCATGTATTGATTGTACATGTGGAAGGCTCAGTATCGTGCCCATTTTGTGATATAGAGGGCAGTGCTGTTGACGAGATGAATTATCATATTAACATGGTTCATTTAGATTATTTGAGTCCATCAAAGGAGAGCAGAGGAGGAAACAATTCCACAGCGCAGAGCAGCCGCCCAGTCAGTAACGCAGACAACGTGGAGGAAATGCCGTGCTATGGTAAAAAAGCAAAAACAAAACAGACAGTGTCTGGTAGGGATTCCCCCCAGCTGCTGGTCAGTAGTCCAGTGAGACAAGGATCAGAGATGACCAGGCAGGAGTCTGCTACCACCTCCAACCAGGCCAGTATGAGGGCCAGGCTGTACCTGGAGGTGCGGTCCCCAGGGGCTGGCAGCACCGACAGTTCTAACATGGACAGTGCCAGCGAAACCAGCACCGGGAGTGAACCCATGGACACAGCTCAAAGTTCAGACAGTGACAGTGGGGGTCAGCCATTCCACTGTCCACTCTGTGCATGGAGCACAAACTCTTCTGCTGAAATACAGCACCATGTGAACTTTCAACATGTGGATATCCTGAGCCCAGCCAACCCCAGGGGGAAGGGGCTCCTACAGGGGGGACTGGAGAATCAGAATGACATAAACATACCATCTACTAGTAGCAGTGGTGCCAAGGAACTGTTTGAGTGCCCACTGTGCGGGCTACACACACATACTGCTAATGCCTTGGAAGTGCATGTGAACATAAAACATAAAGATATATTGAGTCCAGAGGATGGTATGCTGAGAGCCCCAATAGCAGAGATTGAGGAGGATGACAGCCACTGTTGTCCTGTGTGTGGTATGGAGTTTGCATGTCTGGCCAGTTTAACGGCCCATGTAGACGGTCACTTTTCTGCTGCCCAGACACCAGGTACCAGTATTTATTAAAAAGAAAATTTTCTAAGGAAAGGAAAGTGGTTGAAACGTAAATTGTTGGACTTCTCATATGGCTTTTTTTTATATAGAGTTTCACTCTATAGTTCCTCATTTACAAGGCCATTTGGGTAATTTTAAGAAGACATTTATACTAGTTTCTGGAGGACTTTTTATTCAAATTGTAAATTAGATAAAGGCATAAATAATCACAAATGGAAGAACTCCCAATATTTTTCACCCATAAGGAAATATCAGTGTTGTAATGAATTTGTGACCGTGCATATTCTATTGTATTAATTTGAAATTCCTAATGTCTGTCTTTGTTTCTTCTGAAGTGAATGGAGTGGCAGACAATGCCCTGGTACAAGACATTGAAAGAAAGGAGAAAGCTGCTCAACAATCTCTAGAACAAAAGGAGTTTGAAAGGTTACAGGTAAAAAAAACACATTTATGTGTTGTCAAACCAATAAGCTACATAATTTGATAGTGACCCTTACAGTGCTTTTATTACATATAGAAGTATACAGAAGCCTACTTTTCAATTTTTTGCTAAGGAACAACTCTTCTGGAATGTTTTAATTTTCAGAATTTATCACTTAAAGTACCACACTCACAGTATCGGAAAAATTCACAATTTTCCTCATTGAAAAGATTAAGTCATTACCATTATTTTAAATGTATACTTGATGCACAATTAATCGCAAGTGGACAAAATGTTCATTTTTGAAAAAATTCTCGTTTTATGGTTTTGTCGACATACCATGTATTCTGTGCTATGTCTAGATGGAAATTATTTAAAACACTAATTAATTTCATGAATACACTTTTTATAAATGAACTATATATACAGGAAAAGTGATGGCCTCTTTACAGTTACTACAAATATCACATAAGTGTAGTATTAACTAAATATAAAGGTGCCTGCTTTGCTAGAATTAGTTGTCATAGTTATCAGGGTTGCACAATCTGTAGATAGTCATACATACGAGATATGTATCATTTGGAATTGAAGTAGACATTATATATCTTGACTGTCGATGTTATAGATCTTGACTGTCACACAGAATTATCTGCTTCACTCGTAACACTTGGCTTTTTCCCCCAAGGACATAGCCAAAATCACCTGTGGTAACATATGGTAACCCTGGGGGGACGGGGAACACCCACATATCCTGTATACCCCTGAGTTTTGGGTACAGTGTCTGTCCCTGGGGGACAGGGGGAACACCCACATATCCTGTATACCCCTGAGTTCTGGGCACAGTGTCTTTCCCTGGGGGACATAGGGAACACCCACATGTCCTCTATACCCCGAGTTTGGGTACATTGTCTTTCCCTGGGGGACAGGGGGAACACCCACATGTCCTCTATACCTCTGAGTTTGGGTACATTGTCTTTCCCTGGGGGACAGGGGGAACACCCACATGTCCTCTATACCCCGAGTTTGGGTACATTGTCTTTCCCTGGGGGACAGGGGGAACACCCACATGTCCTCTATACCTCTGAGTTGTGATGATAACTGTTTGAGCAATTCAAAATAAAACAGATTTCCAGTTCTGGACTTGAAGTTTTAGTGCAGGAAAGCATTGCTGGTTTTCCTCACATAAAATGAACCAAGTTCTTGTCTGTATATAGCCATATGTGTTGAATCAGTGAGGTTTAATTTGCTGTGGATTTTCCTCAAGATATCTTTGTTCTGTGTAGGAGAAGCAATCATTTTCTACATTTAATACTCCTAGTTATTGACATATCTTCTTTCTTAATCTGATTCCCTTTTTATTTTTTTTACAACATCCATCCATCTCATGAAGCATGAAAGCTCTGCACAGAAATATTCTTATTAAATAAATTAATTTTGATTGATTTTCTGTGTGTGCACTGTATAAGCAGTGGCGTTCTCCCGGCCTCCTTCTCCTTAGAGAAAGGCTATCTTGCTTTGAAGTTGTAATTTTAGAACTAATTGTGAATAACAGATCACTTCAAACTCACAGGGGAAGGATTACTTTTAAATGGGAATATCGGAGAAAGAATCTAGGTTAATACCAATATTTATAGAATATTATTCAATAAATTGCAAATAAATTTGAACAAATAAAAAGGTGATGTAGTGGATCTATAGTCGTGTGAATCATGTGTTCAATAATGATGACTTTTATTAAATTCTTTTAAGGTCCCTGTTCTGGTTAGAGTATCTATTGCTCTAGACTCCCCCTTGTGTAAAGTTCCAGTTACTTCATGTACATAACAGGCTATGTTCTTGAGTAGTAATGACTGGTTTTCTCTACCAATTTCTGATTAGATTTGTTACCATGGGGATTTGCTCATTTTGTAGTAGTACAGGTGCCTATGCGTTCACACAAACTTGTCAGATGGACAAATCCCTCCATGATGCCTGTTTATTCCAGTTGTTCTCTACTTTAGTGGGTTGATCCTAACAGCTCCAAGGTTTCCACAGAGCAAGTGCCCACTTTAAAGAGTCTTCTGAAAAATTTTTGACAACTGAAACGAATGTCAAAGCTTAGCATGCAGCGTCAAATGTTAAGTCTGCTACAAGCCACAGCAAATGAAGGCCAAGTAAAATCTAAGTACAATCCAACAAAATGCCATGATATTCATCATTTCTAGAGACACTGGATTGATCACTTGTGTTTTTTTGTCATGTGTAAACTCCAAGCATCCAAAGTTCAAATTATCATTTATGTCATTGATACATGGGGAGAGTTAGTGGTTTAATTATATTTTGGAAGGCAGTGGTATCCAGACAGTACACTAGGCATCATCATCATTGAATAGACTTCAGACTAATTCAGTTTGATGTGAAGCTGGTCTGATGAAGCTGACCTCTGTTGAACACAGACAACAATCCACCTGGAATAGAACTGCTGCCCACAGCCTTCTCTCGGGGATTTTTTTTTTTTTTTTTTTTTTTTTTTTTTTTTTTTTTTTTTTTTTGGGGGGGGGGGGAAAAAAATTTTTTTTTTTTNTCTTAGTTTTATTTACATAATTATATGTTAAGTCCCATTTTTTCATAAGTCCTAAAGAGTGATATAAAAAGGGCAAAAATGATTGTTGTCAGGGCTCATCACTTGTACATAATGCTCACTGCCCCTCACACACCTGCAGCTTTCAGACCACAAAACTTCTCTTAATAACTTGGGAGACAGAAATGGTTCTATTCCACCTGCTGGAAATTTAATGCATTTAATGCATTTTGCATGACACATTGAAGCAGAAAATGAATAACAATACCTAGTAGCATTGCTGTGTTTGAATTCCATGGTTCAGTGTCGGAGGATGTGTCTGCTTTGTTGTCCCTAACCAAGGTAAAATACCAGTTTTCATGGGCTCAGCTAGGTTTATTAGAGTCTAGGTCAGCCGCAGTAGAATGGCCTTTTGAAATGGAATGCAATAATTCCTGTAATTACTTTGCCCCTTAGGTTAATGGCTAGCAAATAGTTCCGTGCAATTTAAAATCTATCTGCCTAATTAGAGAATATTGATTCTGATAGAATAGTTCCACTGTCAAAGATAATAGACAAGACCATAACGCTGCAAAAAGTGGTTGAATTTTCTTCTTTCTATTCAATATAATTTACTTATTCATTAAAATAAGATTTTAGTATATTACACTAAGAACATGGTTAAGAAACAGGCAAAAAGCACAGCAAACCATCTGTTTTTGTGTAATTATAATGCAATCATTTGGGGTTAAAAACCTATATTAGGTTGTTTTTCTCATTTTCTGTTAAGTGTGTACAGAAATTTTTAATGTAAGAAGTGTTAGTAGGTTTGCAATTCTTAAAGTTTGGAGGCAACCTTATATTGAGGGCCAGCTCTTCCAAAGGTCAACTATTCCAAAAATGAAACGAGCCTTGATCTGAAATTGAGCACTATTCATAAAGTCCACTATTCCAAAAAATCAGTTGATGGGATAGCTACACTTAAAGTTAAACCAATTTTATTAATGGCGGACAAGCAGACTAAGGCTTCGTTCACATGCAATGTCTATTTTCTAATTTCTATTTTCTATTTGCGCTATCTTATGATCACGGTCTGTGCCCTGAATATCCCGCCGCGTAATTACTGGCAGCGCGAGCCAGTTACTTATAGTAACTTATAGTAACTGGCTCGCGCTGCCAGTAATTACGCCGCGGGATATTCAGGCAACAGACCGTGATCATAAGACATACCGCAAATAGAAAATAGAATTTAGAAAATAGACATTGCATGTGAACAAAGCCTAAGAATAGCCTGCCTTTGGAATATCAGACCCTCGGAAAAGTGAACTCTTGGAATATGGAAAGGCACCCAAAACTTCAGCATGATATAGCAGGAGTTAAATATAATGAAGAAATATCCTTGTAATAGTAGATTCTTAGTTTTGCAGTGCAGTTCAATGTAACTGTCAATTGTGAACTCTATTGCCAGCTAGGCAGTGTGGCCAACAAGTTGGCTGTGAACTCTATAGCCAGGTAGGTAGTGTAGCTAACAAGTTGGCTGTGAACTCTTTAGCCAGGTAGGCAGTATAGCCAACAAGTTGGCTATGAACTCTATAGCCAGGTAGGTTGTGTAGCCAACAAGTTGGCTATGAACTCTATAGCCAGGTAGGCAGTGTGGCCAACAAGTTGGCTGTGAACTCTATAGCCAGGTAGGAAGTGTAGCCAGCAAGTAGGTTTAAGTTTAACTTCATAGCCAGTTTAGCCAGTTTATTTAGTTAAACTCAATAGCCAGACAGGCAGTATAGCCAATAAGATGATTTTGAACTCTAAAGCCAGCTAGGAAGTGTAGCCAACAAATTGACTGTGAACTCTATAGCCAGCTAGGCAGTGTAGCCAACAAGTTGGCTGTGAACTCTATAGCCAGAGAAAAGGTTCTTTTAAACTGACATGAAGTCTCTTAATTTGTTGGTTGGCAAGGTAGTCTCTTACTAGGTTGATTGTAAACACTATAGCCAGCTGGGCAGTCTCTTACTAGGTTGGTTGTCAACAACTATAGCCAGCTAGGCAGTCTCTTACTAGGTTGATTGTAAACACTATAGCCAGCTAGGCAGTCTTTTACTAGATTGGTTGTGAAGGCTATAGCCAGCTGGGCAGTCTCTTACTAGGTTAATTGTAAACGCTTTAGCCAGCTAAGGCAGTTTAGCTAGCAGGTTAATGTTGAACTCTCAATAACCTGAAGTGTGGCCCAGCCTGTAGGGAGCCAACAGTGCACATGCCCAGCTTTGATAATATCATCCAATATTGGATTTGTGAGAAATTTAATTATTGTAAAAGCCTGTTGGTCGTTGAGTGTTTGTATTGATGCTTGGGCAGGAATAAAAATCAATAGTTTTGGCTTCTGTTTGCGCTGGCGGTGCATATGGTCATATCATCTGGATAGGGATAGGATTGTGTTGTGGTGCAACTTATTATACTTCACTTTGTAAGTTAGAGGGTATGCTTCACATGTAAAAATCCAATTGTTCTTTTGGGTCACAAGTCATTTTTTTACTTAACTAAATAAAAACAAATTGTATCATACGGCAACCTCCCTGTTTATAGTCCTGAATAAGTGTTTTACGGGCAACTTTTTCTGTTTTACCGTGCCAAATAAATTTGAATAGCATATTTTGTAAATTTTGCAGCCACTCTTTGTTTCCCAAGACAGGGTTCCCTCTTGTTCATTGATCAGTTTTCCCTGTAAATTGCAGACCAGAGCTGTAGTATATTATAGCACAATTTTCCCATTACCCTGGCGCCTTCACTTCTTAGTGGTGGGGCACCAGGACCTATCTTACAATGTACATTTACAACATGGACAAATTACAGATAATGTAGTTGCAGAAAGCAATTTTTTTCCATTTAACTGTTTAATGATTCAGTGCAGTTAAAGAGACTCCAGTGTCTACTTTGTACTGCTGGGTAATATTGATAATGTTATAATATTATTGATTTACTGGTATTTGAATGCAACATGACACAGACTTAAATGGTGAAAGTGCTGGCATTAAATTGTTTTAAACAGTGCAGGAAGTGCGTGTACTCTGATTCCACACAATACTTCCTACAACACATGTTTCAGTGGGACAAAAATCACAGTTTCATTTTGATATATGATGAAACTCCTCTCTTGCCTTCATTGATTCCATAAGCTTGTTAACCACAACACAATGAGACAGGCTCTACACAGTAACTTGCTTATAGAGAGAAACATGTTTTCACAGATAAATGTGTTAATGGTCCATTGAAAAAATTAAAAATGAGTTTTCTTTTTAGAGAGTTTAAAAACAACTTAATCAAAGTATCTGTGACATGAATGTTATGTTTTATTCCAAGTGTGAAATATAATGGGGAAAGAAGCTAGCTCAAGCGCTGTCAATCTGCTGTTGAACTTTTGATAGCAAATGGAGTCATTGTGTAATTAAAGCTGAAATTATTAGTTCATTATCATTGGCTGAATTCAGAACAGATGATCCAAGGACTAACTGGTCCGTGAATCCAATATGGCCGACACCACTTGAAAGTGATGCAACTTAATCCCCTAATGATCTCCTAGCCTACCACAGGCACCAGCCCTGAAGGGGCCCAGCAATTAAACCTGGGAGCTGAGATTTAATCCGTTCAATTGCTAGGCAACTATTTGGCCTCATTTTCAAATGGATACAACCATATTATTGCAGAACCAGTTAGTCCATGGATCATCTGCTCTGAATCCCGACATTGTATCATTTTAGACATCAGTGGACAATGGACCTCTGAATGGTGCCATAATTGACCTTCCTTTAAAACATTTCATTTCTTTTATCCAGGCCCAGTATGGCATGGATGGCAAGAACAGCTACAAGAAGCAGTCCCAGAAGAACCTGGAGAAGGCTGTGTGTGACGGCCAGATGAGCATCACGGAGTATTACAACCGTCTGATGCAGACACAGGAGTCCAGTGTCACTGGGGTGGACGATGGTCATTCTTGTACCAAAGGTGAGCGACCCATTTGCCCACATGCATGCATGCACACACGCCTTCAGCTGTCCCTTACAGGTATGCAGATTTGTGGAAAGATGTTGAAAATTTTAAAGGTAACCCACGCTACGTGCTGAGTGACTTCTATCACCTGGTAGGTTCTCACACTTCCACCTCAATCTCCACACCCACGCACTGCTGTGGCACCTGCTATCAGCTCACCCCCAGTGGGTGGAAGTCATGTCTTTTACGTTTAACGATGATTTTTTTCATCAACTTCTCACACTGGCACTTGCTCCATTCTGATTTGATTGATCATTTTTCTATGAGTTTGGTAAATATTTTACACTGTTCTGTTGAATTGCTTCCAGTATATTGAGAAGATAATGTACATGTTGAATATCCCAGGAGTACTCAAGGGAGCTCTTTGGCTTATTTGATTATACAAGGTACAGCACATAGGTTAATATACTGTCACCATGGCAGCAACGGAGAGAACCTGCATGGTAGTAGCAATTCATGACTTTCGTAACAAGAAATGTTTTCTTTCATTGTGTAAAGCCAATAAAGTTGATTATCTATTTGAGAACGCTAGCTTCAAGTTTCATAGCAGTGGGAATTGTCTCTGTTGCATCACTTTGTAGGTTATTGTGTGTGGAAATTAAGGATGTAGCACTTTTCTCAGAAATCGACTATGACAGGAGATGTCTGGTTGTCAGTAGCATTTAACTGGAGTTAATTTCGTAGAGACTGTGATGTCTTCGTGCAAGAAATAGATGCGTGACTTTCTAGCATGGCTGAGCCTGTTCTAGAGAAACAATAAAAATACCATGTTTTTGGTTTGTCTGGCAACCTTTTAATTTTGAGGGTGAACAAATTTGTTGTTGCTAAAGATTGGGTTTATTCTCTATTGTGTTAAAGCTGATGGTTTGCACAACCCAGAAGTGTTATATGATTTAAGTTGTCATTTTTGCATGGTTGATTCTGTCATGTAAGTCAGGAGAGCAGGATTTGTTGCTTGGATATTGGAGAGGATATGTGGGATGATTCTTCAAGTCGCTGGGGTTGAGGAGATAATGATAACTACCAGTTCAAAATAAAGATGTCAGACATAGACTTTAGTTTGGCTTAGTAAAAGAAGAATTTTTGGTTTTGGTTGTTTGTTTTATGTATGGTAAGAAGGAACAGTAAGGAAGAAATGTTAGGGAACATTCTTTTCATTTTCTATATAAAGTAGTTCTTTTAATTTATAGTTTTCTTCTTTATTTTTCCCTTCATTAAAATAAAAACTGTTAAGGGTCAACTGATAACACTATTATGTATTAATTACCTCAATCAAGGCTTTTCTCAGTGAACTGTCCAACCATCATTTGGACAGCTGCTGGTATCACTGGACAGCCAATATTTTTAAAGACTGCTGGATGGCTTATAATTTAAAAAAAAAATGATGGCTTGGACTCCTTGAAATTTTGTAGTAAATTATAGGTGATTATTTTGGAGAACATGTACCCCAAATCCTGGGAAAAGCCCTGACCTCAATCAATTTATTTTAAATAGTTTTGAAAGACCTTGCTGAGGGATGTTACATGTGCCAGTGTTTGTTGGCTACTTATTGCCAAGTCTTATATGTACATTTATTTGGTGTATCTGGAAAGATTCGATAGCTTAATGACAGCAAGTAAATATCAGGCATTCGTTGTTTGATATACAGCGCATGTCAAATTTGTCAATCCTGTTCTTGTGTGGCTGAAATCCACAGATGTGCTTTAAAATGAATCCAGTTACTTATACCTAAATAATTAATGATGAATTCAGGGTTTAATGATGAAACATTACACTACTGGTCTGTAGAATTACACTTCTGTTGTATGAAAAATATCGGCTTTTTTGAAATATGCATTTTTGTGTCTTCTTTGACAGGTATTATTGCCAGACTGCGTGACTTCTATGCTAAGCCCAGTAGTACCAAGGCATGGTTGTGTTCCAGTGTTGACCACTTTGCTGCCTCCTATGGGGACAAAGGCTGGGGCTGTGGCTACAGAAACCTTCAGATGCTGCTCTCCTCCCTGGCAGCCTGTTCCCTGTATCAAGATGTGCTGTTTAATGGTAAGACAGTGAGTTTGTGTGTGCACGTGCATGTGCGTGCGTGTTTATGTGTGTGCTTACATGAGTCAGTGTGTGTGTGTGTGCATAAGTCAGCGTTTGTGTGTGTTTTGTGCCTGTTTGTGTGCGTGTATGACTCAGTGTGTGTGCGAGTGTGTCTACATGTGTATGAGTTCGTGTGTATGGTGAGATTAAGTGAGAATGTGTGTATGTATGAGTAAGTGAGTGTGTGGGCATGCATGTGTATTTACTAAGTGATTTTGAGAGTTTGGGGTTCAATGGTTGCAAAATTTGTTCCAGCTAATTTGCAGATAGCAGATGACATTTCACTTAATTTGTGTTTGTTCATTCCATCAGGGATCTTTATCTTGAGTTATACAGCAGAAAAAAACAAAGCTAAATGGATTATGTTGCGTAAAAAAAATGTCTACAAGAGAGATTCCAGCAATCTACATTTGATGTTAGAACATGGCGGTAACTTGGGGTCACCGTGGTGATGGAAACATATTGTAATATTTATCTATCAGCAGTGGATTGATCACTCAAATGTCTTAAGCAGGTCAATATAATTATTTCCTAATCTTATTTATTTTCAAAAGGGAGACCAATAATTCCCTCCATTCCAAAGATCCAGCGTCTTATAGAGACGGCCTGGCAGAAGGGTTTCGACCTCCAGGGCTCTGAACAGCTGGGGGGAAAGCTTTTCAATACTACAAAATGGATTGGAGCAACAGAAATAGTAGCCACTTTATCATCACTAAAAGTCAAGTAAGTTGAGGAAATATTGGATGTACGAGGTATTTCCTTTCACTTCTAGCCTTCTCTTGTCACGTATGCTTGAGAAATTACTTTTTGAATAGCGTCAATATCTGTGCAAGATGTGTATTGTATTGCATTTTTCCAGACAACCATAATTTGTTTGCTTTATAATGTCAGACAAATCCAGCTTTAAACCGCATAAACCAAAGAATTTATCTTGTTTTTGTTTTCCATTTTCAGATGCCAGCTTTTAGATTTCCATGCCCCCACAGGCCCTGACGGGACTCACCCCAAGCTGTTTGAGTGGGTCAGAGACTACTTCAAAAAGACAGCAGACTTCAAACCTCCACTGTACCTTCAACACCAAGGTAGGCCGTTGGCTCTTGTGAATTTAATAGATCCAATCTTAATTTGGTAGTTTTCCTAAGAACTAGCTGAGATAGACCCTGGCTTGAATTCATTTTTTGAAATTTAGTCAAAACCAAAAATGTTTTTCTTAAGGGATGAATCCTTAAAAAAATATATTCCTTTGCAATAGTTTTCCAATCTGATAGTTCTGTTTTGCTGCATCAAGCTAAGGTCTCTTACAAGAAAAAAAAAGAGCTATTATACTGTTATGACATGCACCATATATTCCTCTGCTATCATTTAATTCTACCAATAGAAATTAACATCAACCATTAAATGGATACTGCATACATCAACAAACATTGTCCTGCATACAAAAAGGCAATATTACTCCCAAGTTGGAAAACATCAAAATGTGATGCGAGTCTGTGTGAGAAACCATTGATATCAACTAGCATCACAACTTCAGACCTTTGAACAGCTTTAACAACTGGATCTTCCACATCAGCGCAGTAATGGTGCTGCTTTCATTTGTCACATTGTGCGGACTTCTCGTCAGATGAATAATGCATTTTAAATTGTCCTCTTGAACTCCCAGGCTGATCTGTGAATATTGTTCACCATCCATTGTTCCTTGTTAACCAGAGATGGTTATTGATCTATATCAGAATTTTAGTGGCCATGATTTTTTTATCGTTGATAAAAACTTTATTGCATTTTGTGTTGTTGTTGACTCCATGTACTTGTGGAAATCACTAAATTGAGATTGACCACACGGTTTACTTTTTTAGGGGCAATGTACAAATATACATAAATTTTTTAATGTTACTTGAGGAAAAAAAACAGTCCAGATATAAATAAAAGTTTCTCTTTGGGTTTCTGTGGCTTTGTAATTTGCCTTTTGAATCTTTTTTATTTATCACGGTTCATATAATCTTTTGATCAGTTTTTGCTAAATGATATCATTATGTAGCTGCCTGCACCCTAGGGACCTTCACCCCAGGGACACCTGCCAAGGGTGTGCCAGTTACACCTGCCACGGGGATGTGCTGTGGTGGGAATTCTATGACCCAGACATTACTGTCATTAATGGATTGTTACAGATCACTTTAACTGCTTTGCTGCCCCTTTTATTCCATATCATTTAGCAAAACTCAGCATAAATCAATGGCACAGAAAAGACCATGCTTTCTAAATAGTCATCAATGCGGTGTCCAAACAACCGGCTAATACTGCAGTTCACTGCCTGCTGCCTGCCCTGGTAATCTATTCTTTTTTGAAGTACTTTCTAATTGATGGCATGGGTGAATCAGTCCAACGCAGTTGTGTGGCAATTCATGGGAATGCGGAGGGATGTTTAGAAAAATTGCCAACTGTTGTTTTTTTAGTCCTTTAGAAATTCCCCTATGCCATATTCAGAGTAATATATTTTGTAAGCATCCAAGGTATAATTGGATAATTTTCTGAAATATTATGGGACATTTTGTAGTTTTTTGTCCCATTATAGCAAAACTATAATTTAATTGAATTTGGTTGAACTCAACTTGGATGTTCAAATTGGACGAAATTCAGGTTGAATACCAAAAAGATTTCGATGAGATGGTTTTTAAAGAAAAAAGTTTTTCCTGTTATTAATTATATGGTGAAGTGTGTAGCATTTTTTATTCAAGGACGAACATCTACATTAGAAATTGTTTTAATGCATTCCAGCAGGTTAATCTACACATAATTTACCAAATTTCTTTTTTTCTTTTTCCAGAAAGTGAAAATTGGAGCAATTTCCAAGAATATTGTAATTTTTGCCTAAAAATCATTCACCTATTAAATTTGTATCTTTATTTGAAAAGTTTGATATCTGTCTATCTGCCTGTTTTACTGTCTAGATTTGCCAACAGTGAATGCAGGCATGGTGCAATTTCAAAGCACATCCAATATTCAGAGTTTGGTGAGTTTATTGTTCCCTAAAACTGCCATTCATCAGATCATATCTAGCCTAAGGCAAATTGTGAGTTGATGTTGATGCAATGGTGCCCTCTTTCCCCCCCTGGGACATCAGTTACTGTGATACACAGGCAGGTCCATATGGTTGGCTTATATATCATCTGAGTAGCCTGCAAACCAAAGGACCAGCTGATTGGTCTATGGCAGTTATATTGTCAGTCCACACCCTATTCCCTGCAAGAATTTAGTGACATCCTTGCTCAGGTTAAAAAATCTTAATAATATTTTCAAGAAACCTGAAGCATCCTTTCTTTGTCAGCCTTTTGGATTGTAGACAACAGTCCATGTTATTAGTGATGTGTGCAGATGATGTGGTTTGAAGTGTATGTTATGGTATTATATACAGTTCAAAGTACCATCACCTGTATTACAATTTCTTAGTATAGGTGCGACATCCCAGGATGATGTTCTATTTGAAATTAATGTCTGCAGGTATTTAGAATTTTTCCCTCAAATATGGTAATTGTATTCATGAAACAAGTAAGCGATATAGAAATCGTAATTGGAGAGGTTTATAGTGTCCTTATGATAGTGTATTGTTTTTAGATAAAAATTTCTGGCTCACTATTTCTGAGTTGAGGCAATAAAGTCTCAAAATCCATCAGGTTAGTTGGATGATACCCCAGTGTGGACAGTTTTAGACATCTACAAGTAAACTGCAACCACTCACTTCATAAGTGTAAATCCATACAAGGACTCTTCAAACAGATTTCCAGAACATTCCAGTATATTACAGCTCAATGAATGGAAACATCAATTGTCTGGGGCCATAATTGTCTGGTGTGCTGGTACCCAGACACCTCTCTTGTCTGGCTGCCATTTTGTAGCTTTCCCTAGACGCCCCCCTCCCCCTCCTCCCCCTGCTTCACTGAACACATACACAGTATATGAATGGACTGAAATCAATAGACCATTACCATGGAGTTGTTTCAATTTGATCATCACATGTGGGAATGTTTCAAAAGATAACAGTATATTTGGATTATTTTAAAAACCTGCCAACAGTTTTGTCGGGGCTAATGTGTTTCCTGGCGTATGTCAGAGGTACATGAATGCCCTGTTTATCATAAACAACTACCTGAATGTTTTCTATCACTAAATGACAATGGCTGCTGGGCACTTAGATCATGAAGCCTTTTTCCACGTCCCAGTGCATACAGAAACTATACATTTTTTGTATTTTTTTTCATTATTTATTTTCATTCATTTATTTTCTTTTGCAAGTTTTTTTTACATATTCTGTTTTAATTGTTTCAAGATTACTTAGATGTTTTTTTTTTTTTTTTCATTATATTTAGTATAGATAAATAACTGCAAAAAAGGCAATATACACTGAAAAATTAGGTTGATTAAAACGGGTGAAAATTTTAATTTTTACAACCTAAAAGTAAACATTCCAGGCCCTGTTGATTCCAAAATTAAGTCATTCTTTATAAACGATGTAAGTGACCATAAATTAAACTTTGATGAAAGGTCACATCAGAAGCATTAACAAAAATTTTAAATTATAGGAAATAACAGTGTCCATTAAGTGTTCCGTGTTTGAGACAAATCAAATAAAATAAAAACAATATATCTGTAGCTGTAAACTTCTATGTAGAAAATAATTAATATACTATAATTTACTCGTTTTTGATCGTCCACCCCACGTCTGGCACAATGGGAAAGAATAACAGTATACCAAGTCGGTGTGTGGCTTGCTCTTCCTCAGAGATATAGATGTATTATGAGGGATAGGCAGTGTCTGTGTAGGCTGTGATAATATTGATTTTGTTCAATGAGAAACTTGTAATGCTCAGAAACCACTTAGCAATGAAGTATTTTCTTATTCTCGGCCCATGTTCTTAGATAGAGAACTCCGTAGTATGTAGTATCTCCCAGCCAGGTACTAGCTATATAATAGGGTATATTTTTTTATACCATTTCTAGCAAATGCCTACGTATGTAGAATATATCTTTAAAACTTGTAAACATTAACAACAAAAAAGCCTGGGAGGTGGAAAGGACAAAAACAATTATTTTGGTCTTAGAAAAATCAATATTATACTCGAGCCGAATTTTGCTTAAGAAATTGTAATAACATGGCAAATTGTCTGCCAGTTTTAATGGCATTTTTGTTCTACTCCAGGCCACAGCAGGACAATCGTAGGTGTGGAAGAGACGAAGGACAGCAGCCTACGTCTGTTGTTGTTTGATCCCAGCTTGACAAAGAAACAGATGCACCAGTTCCACGGGGAGATTAACGCCAATCTGATGAGGAGTCTACGTCGTACCCCCCTCAGCATGAAGGCCAAGCAGTATCAGATTGTCGCGGTGGTGGGGATACTAAATGAGAAGGAGTATCAGGAAAACAAAATCATGAAGTCTGAGAGGATCCCATGATGCCTGCTACACCTCAGTCAGTGACATGATTGACATCAATATGATTTAAGTTTGAATAATCCAGTGGTTTGATGCAAACTCAATGGTTTTTTTTTTTTCTCTCTTTGCACAAGGTCTGTAAGGGAATTTATAGCATCAAGTATTGCAATATACTTTGTACCAAGTTCGGTTGACTAATTTAGTAGATTGACACGTTAAATCCAGTGGGTCTGAATTTCAGTCCCTTTCCTTCCTGTACCAGTGTAATGAAACACCCTAACACCTCATGGAGAGTTTCAAGTTGTTATTTATTTATGTACATTTTCGCACAAGGCAGCAAAGCTGGCAGATATACAGTCATATTAAATTTATTTGTTAATGTAGTATAGGGATGTAATCTTGGCAATAAGCCAGTGTTTACTTACGAGTATAGTTAAATTTAAACTGCAGGCAGCTTGCCAAGGCCACCAGGAAAGTGTACAAGACTGAAATAAGCCAGAGGCTGCGCCATTTATATTGTACAGCTTATATACAAAATGTTAGTCTTCATTTTATCACCATCAGTCATGTAACATTATTAAGATTCTGGTCATTTTTATAGTTATTAATGTTGAAATGTTTGTTCAGCTGTAGTCATCTCAACACAACATTTGATAAAAAAATTATAGGTCACTATGGTCATTACAAATAGGCTTTCCAAATTTCTTTGACTGAATTTTGTTTAATAAGTGTAATTGCTTCACTGTCAGTTACAAATACCTCAATGATGAAAACGATCAAAGTCTTACAGTAGACTTTTTAGCACAAATAAGTAAACATGTTGAAAATGTAGCCTTCTTTAGAAGTAATTTTATATCATGAAATTTTGAGAAAACTGCTTTGGTATCCCCAAAGGAGAGATTGTAACAAACCAAGCTGAGTAAGTAACCATTAGATCAACAACTATGTATTTATGTTAAAGTACACAGTAGAATTTTTCTTTTGCTTCAAAGAGAGCCATTATGAAAACTTCATGACAAGACGTGTTTAAATATGATTCACGTAATTTTTAATGTTATAACTTATACATAATAAATCTTTCAATTTTTAAGAAAATTACAAAATTGCGTCCTTCTTATGCGCTACATAATCAGTTCTATGCCATGATAGCAGCATAAAAGTGGTCCCAAAGATATCTGTTTGGAGGGTCTGCATACCTTGGTCAAATAATTCAATGTTCTTGATCTACATGGCGGTTGTTTTTAATATTATGCCAATGTTTTGTTCTAACTTCGGATCATGTCCATCAAAATTACTTATAATTCAAGCCAAGTGACATCCTTATTTGGCCAGTCTGTATATCGTACATGTGTGGTCACGTACTTCTAGCGCTAGCGTTGTTTGGACTGTTTGTTGTATATTGTACACCCGTGGTCACATAACTCTAGGCCTAGCGTTGTTTGGACTGTTTGTTGTATATCATACATGTGTGGTCACGTACTTCTAGCCCTAGTGTTGTTTGAACTGTGAGCTGTATATTGTACACCAGGGGTCACATACTCCTAGTCCTAGCGTTGTTTGCACTGTGAGCTGTATATAATGTACCTGTAATCTTCAGGTCACAATGCACCCAGCCCTGGAGTTGAGAAGTAAATCAATCAATACCAGATACAGACAAATGGGAGTCAGATTAGGGTTCTATTACATTTAAATGACCACTTTATACCATTAACATAGCATTTTCAGGTTTCATTTACATTAATGATCTTCTTTTTACATTTGCATAGTGACAAAACATGATTCTCAGTGAGTGCCGCAATAATTTCATTGTAATCAAACGGTAATTCACCTCATCACTGAATCTTGTTTTATATAATTAGAATTTCTATTACCACTTCAAAACACTTTACCTCCAATATAATGATCTATGACTTAGTCTTCCAATACACTAAACCTCTGCTCCTTCTAATGCTGAAAGACAGTTATTGAAATAATTATATAAATTTTCATTTTCAAATGCTGAAACAGTTACAGAAATAATTATATAAATTTTAATAAGTCTGGCAGGAATTCAAAATCAACAGAAGATTCTCAGTGAGTGCCGCAATAATTTCATCGTTATCAAACGGTAATTCTCCTCATCACTGAATCTTATTGGGATAATTATTTACATAGAAACAATTTCTTCTGGAAATAATCACCTATAACAGACACTTACCAAGGGACAACGTTAATCTAGGTCTTCTCTCTGAAGTCTGTTGTATACCTCAGAACTAGCCTGTTGATGATTAAAAGAAATTAACATATGAAGTTAAAATCTAAATAAAATATAATTTGAACATTCCGAGATCAATCACAATTAGAGGATAATCTTGATTCTTGGTGAGAATGGGAGTGTGAGCAAGCAGGCATGATTTTCATACAAATCAAACAAACTCTCCAAACCACTTCATCCTATTAGGGATTTCCTGACTATATTTGGTCAATGCAAATATTTCCACAAATAAATTTTATTTGAAAAATTAAAGCCCTTACCAAAGTCTCTTGTTCCCTTTCACTGGGGTTTCCACCTCTTGGGTAACTTGGGGTCCCACCACGTAGAATTAAAACTAAAAGAAAGATAATTCAAGTGAAGCAATTTAACTTTTATTCAAGTAATAAATACGTGAAGGATAAATAGCAGGATTCTCAGTAAGTGCCACAATAATTTCATTGCAATCAAACGGTAATTCTCCTCATCACCAAATCCGGCTTTTCTGACCAACAAATTTTTCTTTTTTCTGTTCTCCTGGGCATTGCAGTTAATTATCCCTTTGGGGCCTGTATTTAAAAAATTTCTTTTAAAAAGTCCCCCCCCCCCCTCCCCGTTTCTCTTTAAAGGTTACTTTCCACTTTTCCAAAATGAAATATCCCCATGACACCAGAAGGTAAACGTAAACCACACGAACCATGGTAGTAACCTACAAATTCTTAATAACTGGAATTCCCAAAGGGACAATTCACAGCATTTTAATAATTAGAACATTGCGTGCAACATACACTTCACAATCTTAAATTACTCAGACATGATTGACATACAAATACTGGTACTCTTGATTCTTGGAATCAATCCATACATTGGTAATCCTGGAAGACCAGCACCTACCTTACAGTTACTTGTATAGCCCACTAGTTGTGCATAGCAACTGGAAACACAGAGATTATCAATTAACATATATATCAACATGAAATCTGCATCTGCTAACCTTATCATAGTGATTTTTTTTTCAAACATGTCAGAGAGTTCTAATGTTACACATTAGCTGCTCAATAATATTAGTGTTTATCACAAGATTTTACTTAAACTTAACATTTATCATGAACTCTGCAAAAAACAATAAGTAGTGCAATCACACAGATGAGAATCTTTCAAAAGATCCCATATGTTTAATATCACCATCATGATCAATCCCTTACAACCTGTAGTCCAAAGAAGCAGAATAATATGGTCTAAGATTTTGGCTGAACATATCACTATTTCTATATCACATCTTTGACATATGCAACTTTACATCACAAATAACATCAGCCAATATCAATTACGAGTATGACAGCTTGGTTCAACAACATACTGCATCATAGATACTGTAAATATTCTTACAGCTGTCAATACGTACAAATCATCACTATCAGGTCCTCTGCCATGTTGAACTACATGCATGTTACTTAACACATAAAACCATGATATATGTATACAGAAGAATACCATATTATTTTTTTTATTTTCTTTTGAGACTACGGATAGCAAAGGTCGTTTGTCCTCTTGGTAGAGAAGTCAACAGCGCCCCCTATCAACTTGCCATAGTTCTTCCAGTATGGACTTCATCTGAATATTTGGTTGAAGTTACCGAGCTGCAATAAATTATCGAGCTACAATAAAAACACAAATTAGCTTCTAAATTTCTTTCACAAGATACTTTTTTAGGCTCAAAATCAGGAGATAAAGAACCCTATGTTACTAAGGGCCTTTACCAATCCACCCATTTTCTTTTCACAATCATTTTCAAATATGCTCCAAACAGACTCCAGGAGGTTCAAGAATTTATTTATTTTTAGGTTTCATAACAACCACTTTAGTTATTCTTTGCTTGAAAACACATAGCAATATCTTCCATTAAGAAAGATTTATTGCACAAGAATCAAACTATGCCAGCTTCCACTTGAGACGGACAGCCCCCATCAAGTCACTCTTCAATTTGACAGATGAAAACAAGCCGTGGCTTTTATATTATACATTTTCTTGTCATTCTGACCTATATATCACAGATTTTCTTTTTTCAAATGTTCAACGCCAGCATCTCATACAAATATGCATTTTAATTCTAAAAATATGTATGACGCTTATGAAGTAATGTACAACTATAATAAAAACTCGTGCATCATGTTTTTAAAAAGCTGAAATATTAATGGTTTTGTACATGCAAATATTTCTTACTTTAACTGTACACCAATTTCAAAGTTATTATACATTATAACTCATGTCACCAATCTTCCAAACGAAAAAAAATTGGAAACTGTCAATTTAAAAAGAAATTCGTCTATTCATTCTAAAATTCCTCTTTAAAAGAACTTATATGCAACTGAACTACATCATAAAGTCAGTTGTCAAAAAGCATTTTTAAAATCAAATACGCAAAACAATAAGTACATAATTTCTTAATTTCTAATTCATCACCGTAATCATTATTAGTAATTCATTTATCCATTTATTTTATTTTATTTTATTTTATTTATTTATTTATTTATTTATTTATTGATTGATTGATTGCTTGATTTATTTATTTTATTTCATTTTTTTTTGTTTTGTTTTTGGTAAAGCAGAGCAGATAGATTTATTGAATTTACTTTTTGTGCAAGTCATGATTCAGCCCTTTCTTAAAAGTACATTAAACATATTGGTTATGAAACATACACGCTAGTCCTAACAAGTTATCATGTTACTCTTGCCATGCTGGACTCCAGCTGTTTGGACCAATCAAAAATGTCACGGTTTCTCTGGTCTACCTACCTGTATGGGCTGTACAGTTACCTGGTGACGTACCTGGTAGAGAGTGGAGGAGAACCATGCCAGGTAGGACAGCACCCTCTCCTTGCTAACAGCACCATGAACATGTTATGTCCAACCCTCATTTTATTCTAGTCTTTTGATTATCAAGTTTCTGGTATACTTAGTATGTTCACTGTAAAAATGATATAACACATTTCCTTTTCTCTCTCTCTCTTTTTTTTTTAAATAAAGGTGACAGTGCAGGCTCTATACTGACATTTGTAAAACTTGCATACAATATTTACTGATTACAAATGGTTTTATGGGAAACAGCCAAACTACGAGCAATAAGTTGAAACTGACAGCTGTCATCGAACCTCAGGAAGACTTTCCTAAAGCCCGTCATCTTTGCTAACTTCGTAGTAATTTGCTCCCCAATCCATAAAAGTTGTTGAGATCAAAAGGAATAGCATGCCACGTGAAGGAAATTACTTTTCATGGGCATGGTACAAGTGCCAATTTTAGTCATTATTGAGATACCTTCCTGAAAAAAAAAATTGTATGAAAGACAGTCTTACAATGGAGTATCATTTGCCTGTACTCCCAAAGATAAAGCTCATGGTAGAATTGTTGAATTTGAAAAAAGAAATATCCAACAGTTATAATAAGATACATTTCATTTAGTCTTGTATTGTGATGTGCTGACATCTGGTGTAGAATTCTAATTACTTTGACAGTCTAGAATATATTTCAAGCGCTTTCAGAAGAAGCAGCTGTACAAGTGTCAATTAAGAAGTTCATGCCTGATTCTTGGTACAAAAAGTCCTCATCACTATGATATATGAAGACTTCATGGTTCCATTTGTCACTCATCCACCTCTAGAAACAGTAAGAACTATAAAATACACCATACAAGGACAGAATCCAGTCTCACCCTCCCCACACCACCACTTTCAACTGTCTCATGTTTGAACAGTAAATACATTATTCATTTACTTAAAACATTCTTTTATTTTAAAACTCATTAGTCTATATATTACCAACACTTTTTTAAATTATTTTTTATATGTATTTTAGTCAACTAGAATTCACAACTACAACTTGTCCATTTTTGTCACAAAATTCCCATCATTTCAAACAGGTATCATTCATATTTCAGAGGTGTATAAATAGGGGCAACAACATCAACTAGGACAACTCCTACATGACACTGTGTCAGAATGGCATGCATTAAGTTTCAAATATTGAATTCTACAGATATATTATGTTATCAATGTAAAGCCTATCAATATGAATACCTTTCCTTCTTGATTGCTGTAAGCTCAGGGTGCCCAGGCACTCCTATCCATGTTCTCTTTCTTCATCTGTTCCCTAGCACTGAGAACAAGCCAGACCAAGGAAACCTGTCCTGAAAATGGCCTTGCTTAGACCAACTCTTCTGCAAAGCTCTGAGAAAAATATACACATCCAGACATTGTCAATGCAACATAAAACATGAAAAGTTGTATCAACATCCTTCTGCTGTTGGTAGTATTTTCACACAAAACTGTCCTGAAAAATAATAACTTATTCATTTTCAAAGACAATGAAAATTTTTTTCTTTGTTGAGATTTAAACAAGTTTTAGGACCACAAATTGGCAAAAATGTTCAAACATAATCCTCAGTCCCGTCATTGTGTACTACGCTGCATATACGGAAAACTGTGGCAACTTCTCACATTATAAAGCAGCAAAAAAATGGATGTACTCTTTAAACACTCATTCTCAATTCTCTTTCTTCTATATTGATTAGCCCCTAAAAAGCAGTAGTCCTAAAAGCAATCTCCCCAGAACTACTTAAAGAACATTTTATATACTTGGTGAAACATAAGCCACTCATACATCACAGGTAGTAGATCTGCTTTCTTCTCTTCCACCGACCATATTAATACCACTAAACCAATGCCATACTCATTGTCAACGTTAACAAGTCCATACTTACAACACTGTCCACTGCAGTCTACTGGAGAACATCACCAGCATTTCCTGAAGCTATAAACTTCACACAGCTTTTTGATACATTTCAGGTTTTTAAGAAAAGTAATCTGTGCATATAATGTCTCCTTTTATTTTACATCAATTCTTTTCATATCATACTGGCTGTATCGTGCCAGCACACGTTGATCACTTAGAATTGCTTACTAGTACTATTGTACAAGTTGGAACAAAAAGCCAATGGGACTTAACTTCTACTCTGCAGGTTGTTTCTTCTCTATGACATCAATATTCATCAAGCCCTCTATTGTTGAAATCATGTTTCAATTTAGAATAAATTTGTTTAGAATAAATTTTTTTTTAAATGAAATCTATTAAAATTTCTCACACTCCTCAAAACCTTTTCATTTCCTCTGATACGAGTACATTTTAAATTTTAAATAAAGAGGATCTTTAATGGCTGCGAACATGTGCCTGTCCAATACAAATACCTTGTATTTAATTTTTTTTTTTCATTACAAAAACTTTTTAAATTTAAATCATTCATCAAAAAGCTTCCCAGGGTTTTTGAAACTAAATGCTTTCTTCACAATGGCCCCCAAAACAAAAACAGACTGTAACTATGATGCATTTCTTGCAAAAGTGTTTTAAACAGACGTCCCAACCACATGATACTGTGTACAGAATAGAGCAAATAGATTTCTCAAAGATAAAGCACAGTCTCATTTTCTCATCTTAAAATTATGGATTGGCAGGAGTTTAAATAAAAATGGAGAAAATAAAGCTGAAACCAGCATCTCTTCCTTTTTTCAAGTAGTTAAAAGGATAGCAACTCTTCATATGAAATATATATTTTACAATAAATGCTCTGTACACACCTAATAGAAATATAATAAATTGTCTTAAACCACTAAAACAGCAGTTATGACAATGATCCTGAAATCTGTTATTGCCATCTGACCACATGATCTTTATAGATGGCTCTCCTCTGTAATAAACTTATAAGAGATTATATAAAAATCCAAACTTTTTAGATAAAAACCATGGACTAACTTTAAATGTCAGAATAGATTCATTTACCATTGGTTAGTTTGGAAAAATTGTTGCTTACCCCAAGAAAATTAATTTTAGGCCAAAACTAACTGTTGTTATCCCTTAAAATATGCTTTTTTGAACTTTTTGGATTATAATTATTTATTATTTTTTTGTCTCCTAGGACATAAAAAGCATTTTTTTGGTACTTCTCCGTTGTTTTTTTATCCCCAATTCTTTAAGTTATCACATTAGTTTTCTATCATCATTCCATTATATTAGTATTTGTTCAAAAATCCTGAGCTTTTCGCCACTCTAATTCAGAAGTTTACAGTTAAATCATGGAACATTACAGCTTTTCACAGCTTTAATTTCTCTGCAATCAAACCAACTTAGACAAGACATTCATTTTTGTCCGGTTCTCTCTCAAATTCATTTTATGCTCTTGATATGCCACTTTCACTTTGGAACGAAGATTTCTTTTGCAGTTTTACATACAAAACATTTATTGTCTTTGCTAACGGACATTTTTAAACAAAGCATCTAAACATAAAATTTTCTAAACACTCAACAGAACTGCATACAGGTTCTCTGTTCCTTCCTGCTCAGCTATGCTACTTTATACACATAAAAATAGTTTTGGTTTATCTATATACAGTATGGTTCAGCTTCTTAGACTTCAACATCATTAGAATTTCTATCCTGCTGATCTGATAATGTTCAACAATTCTACAACAAACATCAAACATGTTGACTTTGAAGGTTGGAATAAAACATGATCAATAAAACTGTCAACAGTGCCTCATACTGGAAATGTTGATAATAGGACATCTAGTTTTCAAGATATTTCTATGTCATACATTGGTTGTTTCATGATCTCTTTGTCCTCATAAGAAATCCAGCTGCAAAGTCTGTGCTAACAGTCAACACAGTGACTTAGAATCGGCGTGCTCTCTTGCCTTCAAAGGGTGGTCCATCTGGTCGGTCTCTCCTGTCACGTTCCATCATACCACGCTCATTCCTCATGTTCCCCCCTTGGTTCCCCATCCCGCCACCCCCTCCCATCCCTCCAGGGCCACCCCCCATGTTACCCCCCATTCCCATGTTGCCCATCCCCATCATGTTGCCAGGCATGTTCCCCATGTTGCCTCCAGCACCTCCCAGGTTGCCCATCCCCCCGGGACCGCCCATCCCCCCAGGGCCACCCATGTTGCCCTGATTGCCCATCCCACCGAAATTGGGGCCCCCAGATGGAGGCTGATCAAAGCGCGACTGGCGTGACTAGAGGAGTAACAAGAACGTTCAGTTCAGTTCATAGCCATCCATTGTCATACCAGACATTTTTCATTATGTTTAGTTCATGTGTGTTATCGCGATCCAGTTCATTTTAGATGATAAGCATGACATAGTTGAGGTTGTCAAATCATCAGTGCGCCAAGGGAAGAAGCATCACATGGGAAGAAAAAGAAAAAGTACTGCATTAGTATCACCCAAGTCAGACTACATGTGCCTTCATACACACGTCATGTCCATTGTTCTCCTTGCTAGCTGCTGTTCATGGTCTAACCAGACCTGTTCATGGTCTTACCAGACCTGTTCATGGTCTAACCAGCCCTGTTCATGGTCTAACCAGACCTGTTCATGGCCTTACCAGCCCTGTTCATGGGCTAACCAGCCCTGTTCATGGCCTTACCAGCCCTGTTCAAGGTCTAACCAGCCCTGTTCATGGCCTTACCAGCCCTGTTCATGGGCCAACCAGCCCTGTTCATGGCCTTACCAGCCCTGTTCAAGGTCTAACCAGCCCTGTTCTTGGTCTAACCAGACCTGTTCATGGGCTAACCAGCCCTGTTCATGGTCTAACCAGCCCTGTTCATGGCCTGTCCAGCCCTGTTCATGGGCTAACCAGCCCTGTTCATGGCCTTACCAGCCCTGTTCAAGGTCTAACCAGCCCTGTTCATGGCCTGTCCAGCCCTGTTCATGGCCTTACCAAACTTGTCCATGGTCAAAAAAAGGATCTACCACATCAACAAATATATGTTATCACCATCGCTGATAAAGACAACCAAGGTTATCACTTATTATTATGCAAAAAAACTCATCAGTTCCCAAGGAAAAAATGCAGATACAATTAGAAATGATTTACTACTAAAACTTAATAATTCAGCAAATCTTAGCAGAGATATGCTATCATTTCCCAAATTTCAGCAAACTACATTTGTAGCTAAAAAAGATTTTTGAAGCACTTCACAACTCATACAAGTATATGCCTTCCAATAAAGTTTACTTTTTAAATACCCCCACCCTTTCCCATTAATAAACCCTCTAAATCAGTCCATTACAAAATTCTCTTTAAGTACAGAAAATTTTGGGCAAATGTACAAATAAATTACCCAGAAAAAACTCCAATCCAATGTCACGATGGCTCACCAGTCAAGTGATATGAGCATTGTGGTTTCATATAGTACAGACAGTAAACCATTAGTAAAACAGCCATATTTCCAGTTGACTATAACACACACCTCTGTCATAAGTATACAGTAACTGAGCCAAATCCAAGTGAGTTACTCAACTGGTAAAATATGCCACAAAAACATGTCTACAAACTCTTCATTCAAATCATCCTGTCAACGTTCCTTGGTAAAAATCACCTAGCCACAAAAGAATTCAAAGTTAATCTGTAGTTAATATGACATAACACGTTCAGTTCTGAGTATCTAATATTTGGAGTATTCAAAGTGTCAATATCAATGTGAACAAGAGTGGTGTACATCAAACCTCTTACCATCCTCTCGTTGGGAACAACTTTGCTCCAGCTAAACATCCAGGGCCCAGTTTTATAAAGGACGTTTAGCACTAACCAGTGTTTAACTCTAACCAGTGGATAAATTCTCCTAAACCCCGTTAACTAAATGACGGATGAAATTGTGTTTCATAAACAGTGTTTAAACAGTCTGTTAGTTAACTGACCTTTAAATAATTATTTTATCCAGTTAAACATTGGCCAGTTAACTTATTTCATATACAGTGTTCAGTCAGAACACTGTATATGAAACACATTTTAACCGTCTTTTAGTTAATGGGTGTTAGGAGAATTTATCCACTGGTTAGGCTTATCCACTGGTTAGTGATAAACATCCTTTATAAAACTGGGCCCAGTATGTCTCTACAGAAGTACATTCTGGGGGAGATACCACACAAAAATGTTCATATTTTGGGTCTTAAAGCTATATCACTGTAATTTTAAACCCGCCTCACCCCAAAAAATAATAAAATACAATGTTATTATATACCCTTTAAGACACCTTTTTTTCTAAATACTAGTTTACCAAAGCTAATCTAAGCGGTAAAAGCTTTCCTAGGGAACATATAACCAATTGTTTTCAATTTTAGGAGCCAAAACTGGTATGTAAAGATACTGCAACTCTTGTGATGACCACTGACAGAGGTTACTTAAGGGGTAGCTTATTTTCAAAGTGGCAAAGATCAAGTTGACCCCTCCCCCCCAAAAAAAAAATAAATAAATAAATAAATAAATAAATAAATAAAAACTTAAGTATTTATTGGATTTGGGGTCTTAGACTATCATGTTTATTCAATATTTTTTTATTTATTACATTAATTTTCTATCAGTATTTTCAACTCAAGAAGAAAGGTATTTAGTTTAGCATTAAAGATACATTTTTGCCACAAGAGCTGGCCAAATGCCACCTTATTGTTTCAAACAGTACAACTTAGAGAAATACCAAAGGGCATTGTTTCACGTTCCCTGAAAAATCATATTTGAAAGGATATTTACTGCTTACTCTCAGTGCTATATATAACCAAGCAGATAAGTCTGTCAATTTAGGATCAGAAATTAGAAGTAGGTGGAGTTATAAAGTTCTTTTTATTGTTTATTTGTTTATTCCTTGGCATGTCATCTCTTTACGAGTTTTATAAGAAACTAGGAGAGGTTCATGTGCGTTACTTGGAAGCCATGCTTGCTTAATATGTAACTTAAATGTTTATTTTCATGTAACATTCCCTGTCATTATTGGCCAGTCAATTGTGATCTATTCCTAGCTGACAGATACATCAGTAGTAAATCATACAAATTATTGTCCCTTTAAGAAGACAGACATATTCCAGACTCAGACAGAAAGGCCATGAACAGCAGCCAGCTGAAAATACAAGCTAAGGTGAGCAATGGACATTTCAATCCTCCTGAAATAAATCACATCATAATTCTTACAAAATATATACATAGTAAAGCATACCTCTTCAATTATCAAGTCAGTATTTACAATGTATATGGACTGTTAACAAATCAGTGAAAACTTTTATATGCTCCAGCTTACGATCCAACTACCTAAGTATCTCACAGAGCTATGGGGCACCTGGCAGTGACCTAGTTTCAATGATGATAGAATGAAAGAAAGTGGACAGAAGAGGAGAGACAGAGAGGGAGAAAAGTTGAGAAATAGTGAGAATTTGAAGTTGCCCAAATTATTCTGCAATATACTCATGCAAGCCCTCTTTTCACGAAGACAAAACTTCAAAATAAATTTTTATGTTCCTATACTGACAAAGCACAAAACTCCAAATACTCAATTCTGGGGAGTGATGTAAACATGCAAATTACAGGAAACAGCAAATAACATCTTTCTTCTTTAAAAATTTCTCTTGGTAATTATTTTAAATTTACACTTACTAAACTGTTCATGTTATAGTGACCTACCAATTTAAAAGGTTCTGTCCACCAAGAGTTTCAGGTTTATTTCAGTTTAAAAATGTACTGAATTCACTTAACCTTCTATCCAGGTTTTATAATATATAGCCCCTATATCAAGTTTTTTCACAGAAATATTTTGATGTTTTTACGTTGCTGACCATATTTCCTGCAATCAATAATCAATGTTTTTAAATCGCCGTACAATTTATCATCTTTCATATAACAAACACTTTCCTTGGATTGCATAATGCTGTCCTTGTTTTATAAGAGAAATCCTGTCAATCCTACCAACATTTTTTTTGCAATAACAGTACATCCTTTGCCTTGAAATGTCAGTAACAAAACACCACTTATACGCAACAAAGAGGGTGGGCTGGATTAAGCTAAACATTTTCATTCTTTTAATTGATATACAAAGAAATCTGAAAAAAGTATGCTAAGACAAAGTATTTTACAAGCTGATGCTCTCATGGGAGTATTTTACCAGCAGAAACTGTCATGAAGAGTATAATGAATTGTTGACTATTGCATGCAATGCTTTGTACTTATCATTCCTTCTCCTAGAAAACCAACTTTTCTAATTAAGTTTCTAACCTTTCCAATAATCCAGTTGGCGGAGTTTTATTCCTGGAATAAATATGTCAGGAAAGAAATTATTTAAGCAAGCTTCGTATCTTGAGGGATGCATTCCACCCTAGTTTTAAGTCAGAAAATCGTGTACACCCTTCTTTGTGATCACAGCACGTTGGAAGATTCCCCCGACTCTTTCTACTATAAATTCACCTAAAGATTTGAGCACATGTTATTTAAAACACCACTGCCTCTCATTTCCCCCTTTATCCCTCTTCATCCTCTTTTATTACTAAAAGGAATTCTGTTTAGTTGTGTTTCACGATGTCAAATTTATTAATGCATTTTTAAGTTTCTATCACACTGAAAATCATTAGAACTTTAGTAAATAAATAAAAATAATCATCACTTCAAAATGTATGCAAGGTCATGTTCAATCAATTTTCATAAAAACAATTAAGGTTTTAATCCAGTTATAGTTGATATTCTTCCTGGTTATCAATAATAATAACAAAACACAAACACCTCTGGTTTACAGCAACAATATTTGATATGGCACTTTACAGTGGTCAAAACATACTCCATATGCATTAGATGTCAGTAACAGTTGTCAATTTGCTGGCCATTACGGCAACACAGTCAATGACTGGACACAGTACTTCACCTCAGTATAAAGACAACACTTCAAGGTATTATACCTATTTTTGTTGATGCATAACCTAAGCACACTGTATCCAATGGACAATAAATACTTTACCCTTTATCAACACATTTCTCTACAGTACAGACTAGTTCTTGGGGCCCACATGAGTATAGAGCTATAAAGTAGAGTAGTCACTGCCAGAGCCTATTGCTATGTACTTCATTGACTTGTTTGAATATTAAGACATTCAACACCGACTACGTGAAGACTCCTACATTCAGTTTCTTTATCATATCCAGAACTAGTAAAATATCACACTCCCTAGAGAAGAGCTGTAGCTATGGCTACCAAGCCCCCACCACAGACTGTCCCTACAAAACATCTCCTCAGCCATCAGATCACCCAGCAGAACACAGTGAATACATTACCATTTGTGCTATCTGTCCCATCAGAGCCTGGGCCTGGCTGTTCAGGTTACCCCCCTGGCCCCCCATGCCTCCTTGGTTTCCAAAGCCTCCGGGACCCCCGGGGCCCCCAGGGCCACCACCCTGGCCGTTAGCATTGCCAGCACCTCCACTCCTCTCCATGTTGCCTTGGTTACCCATCTGGAAGAACAAAAATTTTTCACTGTACAATGCTGCCACCTGGTGAACACACCGAGTACCAGATACACACACACTCCACACACTCACTTTGGCATGTGTTACCACATGTCATATTTCTAAATAGATCAAGCCAGCATCAATTTGTCTACCTAATGAAAACTCATTACAGAAAGTATGTATTCTTATCCTAATATCCAAAGCACTTGGTCATAAAATACTTCAGTTATCTTGTCATTCATTCAGTTAACTTGTCATTCACAGTAAGTTCTTTACTCCTAGAGACGGTGTAGGCAGTACCTGAGATCTCTGTTGTCTCTCTAGTCCCAGTCCAGCTGGCGGGGCCGGGGGTGGCTGCATGGGAGGTGCATTACCCCGGGGTCCACCTGGTCCACCACCCCCACCGCTGCCACCACCCTGCATCTCCCGCATAGCACTCTCTTGCTGAACACAGGAGAGAACACAGTTTTCAGTCTCTTACAAAACACAGTTCATTTATCTAGTGAGCTGCACACAGGAGAGAACAGTTTTCAGTCTCTTACAAAACACAGTTCATTTATCTAGTGAGCTGAACACAGGAGAGAACACAGTTTTCAGTCTCTTACAAAATACAGCTCCAAGGCCAGCTTCTTCATTTTCAAACCTGCATACACACACCTAGCAGACACTTGAACTTCTGGGACAAATTCAAGCTAATCTCACTAACCACAGACATAAGTTATCTGAACTTAGTGGTACTGTGGAAAGACAAGAGACATGGTTGGGATTGGTGTAGAAATTTTTATCAAATGCAGCAGCAGTTCAGACAGCACAAGCTGCATGCATGGACATTTGAAAATGAAAGCTGACACACACAATGGCTGTTAACCTCTGGCTGCGCTCATATCTGAATAGCACTGGTCACAGAAACAGAAGGATAATTTATAATCTAATTTTTATGAAAATAAAACTTTCCAAATTATACTGTAACCTTTGAAGATCTGCAATGCACAAAAACCATTTTACAGCAAACATGCAAGCTGTTTAAACTGTTGGCTAAAAATGTCACCTGCTCCAGCTGTCTGCGTCTCATGATTTCCTCTTGCTGTTGTCTCATCATCATTTCTTCGCGTCTTCTCTGTTCCTCTTGCCTCATCCTTTCATCATCAGGACGCCTGTTGCCAAACTGCTGCATGTTGCCCTGGTTCCTGAAGCCACCCTCATTGTTGAAGAAATCATTTCTCTCATTTCTGAACTCGTTCTGGCGCCTAGAGTTGAATGAAAAGAAGTCACACCTTTTAGAAAACAAACCAAATAAACAACTACAATTTCCTTACAGTACCGGACACACTCACAATTCCAATACAGTTGACATTCCCATCATCCCAATGACATGTGTATTTACCTCATTTCTACCAGTACCAGATACACTCCCAGTTCAAATACAGTTAACATTCCCATCATCCCAATGACGTGTATTTACCTCATTTCCAACTGCTGCATTCTGCGTTCCTGTTCCTGCGCCCTCATCTCCTCCAGGCGCCTTAGCTCTTCTTGTCTACGCATCAAATCTGGCAAAAAAGACATGCGACCATAAAGTAAACAAGCAACACTATAATAAGAATACTAACAAATATATATTATTAATCATCTATTTACAGAATTTGGAAAACTCACCATCAAGTATGGATTATATGTATATAATCCATATTTGATGGTGAGTTTTTCAAACATATAAGTATACTTATAATTTTCCCAGAGTTACAACCAGTGTTGAGAGAGGAGGATGAAAGGGAAGTTGATCAGAGTTAAAGTGTTTACCCTAAACAAATTGTTAAATATGATTTTTTTACAAGAAAAGTTAACTCTGGGCACCTTTAATCCTGACAAACCATCAAAGGCAAAAGCATAATCTCACACAGATAACAAAGGTCTATTTATTGTAAACTCTTCGGTACAAGTTTTAATGGACTTAAACTAAATATATATAGATATAGTCATTATTATCATTCATGAAGAGTTCTCCCCACCTTGTCTGAGCATCAGAGCCTCCTGCTCATGCATAGCATTGTCCATCTCCATGTCTAGTTTCTCCCACAGATCTTCTAGCTGCTTCTTCAGCTGTTCCTTCTGCTGCTTCTCCATCTCATACAGTTGTTTCCAGCGCTGACCAAACTCGAACTCAAAGGAGCCTGGCTGTGCAAACCTTGGTTCAACCTCCCTTTCCCTAGAGAAAACAAGAAAAAAAATTGCAAACTACTCATTTATCATCTTTTAAAATTATAATAATGCTCTAATTATTTAGCTTTAAACCACTTTTTTTTTTGTCAATCTTTAATGTAAAAACAGACATGCTGAAAACTTTTCAGAATGGCCGGACATTTGGACCAGCAGTAATGAAAAATTTGCCAGACCGAATGGATTTTTGTCGGACCGAAAATCACCCTACTCGTTTGAGACAGATACTACCAGTACTTTGTTTGTGAATGTGGTAGATTTGAAATGGAAGGGGAAAAAAAACGCTTTGTGTTTTATATAATTTTAGTAGTGAAGTATGTCAAATGATGACTGTAAATTCTTAAAACTCTTGTCAGTCCTGTGGACCGACCAAGTCCAATTTTCTACCGGTCCAGGCAAATTTTCCCGGTCATGACCGATCGGACCGACAGTTTCAGCATGTCTGTAAAAATATCAATAAAACTTTGGTTAATGTACACATGTAACAAATGGAAGGTACAGGAAAGATTAACTTACTTTTGATAGATGGCATTTTTCTGTACATATCTCTCAGGCATTCCATCGTCTTCATCATGCTGCTCTAACAGTTCAACAATGATGGGGCGAGGAGATCTGAAAGTGATATTGTGAATATTTATCAATCCATTTTTCAAAACATTATTTAAAAGAAATTCTAAGACAACATAAAAGATTTGGTATTTTCTTCACTTCCCTCACATAATCCAAATAACAGAATGTAACATCAAAAACCTAAAACAAAAAACAAACTTTTCAACTCAGTCGCAGACACACTCCCCATGCTACATAAGCTATTTTTAATTACCAGTTCAAATTTAATGGCTTCAGCCAGAGATGAGATGGACTTACTTGGCCAGGAGAAAGACTCCATCATTGATCCTGTTTAGTGCAGTCTGTGCTCCTGGTTTTCTAGCAAATTCCACAATCCCCTCCCCAGTGGCACGGCCTCGATCATCAACAATCACCACAGCACGCTCTACTGACCCAAAGACAGAGAAAGCTTGTTCCAGGAGCTCATTGGACGCGTGGGCTGGGAGGTGTTTCACCCTCAATGCTGCACCATGTGTGGCAAAACGCACCCTGAGCATGCGCCCCTTACGCAGGGTTCCATCTAGGGCACTCTTTGCAGCTTCTGCATTTGGTCTGGTGTCCTAAAACAACAAAATTATACCAATCAAACTCAGCAACACATTCGGTTAAATATTGGAATTTTACCGACAAGTACACAAATAAGGGGTAGATTAATATGAATTCTTAGGCCACCATTATCCTACACTTTAAAAACATCATTAACTCACCAATCTTATAAAGCCAAAACCCTTCTGCTTATTGAGAAAAACTTCGGAGCTCTGGCCGTACGGTTCAAACAATTTCTTGAAATCTGACTCTTCAATATCATTGGGGAGATTTCCAACAAAGAGCCGACATCTTCCAGTAAACAACTTCTTTTCTGCTGGCTGGGATGAACCATCTTTATTTTGACTTCCTTCTCTATCTCTGCTGTCTCTTTTGTCATGTCGGTTTCCAAATCTGTCCGAGTCTCGTCTATTGTTCTGATTTCGGTGCTCTCTGCCTCTCTGATCTCCCGCTCCCCCCGACCTATTTGAATTTGGAGTCGTTTGTGCCTTCTTGTCTGGTGTCTTCTCACTTCTGGTTGGTGCAGGACTTTTTCCTGTCGCCTTAGTTGCAGACATTGCTATATTTATTTGAGAACAAGTCTGCACTACGTTCCTCGCCACGCACTTTTCCTAAAACAATATGGCCGTCTTTACACACGCCGGTGTCACGTGACCAAAATTATCCGAAATGCATTCCATCAAAACGAATCACTTAGCGCAAAAACGAAGTTAATTTAACAAAGCAGATTAATAAAAGCCGCATCTGTTTTAATATGATAAGACATAAAAATGTAAACTGGATAATGGTTACCTAAGTAATGCTCTTTTTTATGCGAAAATTAGATGCATGGACAAAAATTGAAATCGAGGCCACAGAAGCCATTGTTTGATGTGGGGGGAACCGATGACCAGAAGAATACGTTCAGATAAATTGTCTGCTGCAACCTCTCTTCGTAATTTACAGCTGTATTATGTACACTCATTTTATGTGAAGTGCGTACGATGTGCAAATGACCTTGAACTGTCTTGCATGTGGGTCATTTAAAAAAGAGGCATGGCGGATGCAACCGCGGGAAAGCACGGCATGGAAGATAACAATTTGACCGAGGCTCCTGCAGAAGAATCTACCATCAAGGTAATAAACAGATTCAACAAACAACATACGGATCCTGGTCGTTCGTATAACTGTTTTGATTCTCGAAATAGTGAAAACAACATAACGCATTTCTCAATTTTAGAATGTTCAGGGAGCTAAAGTTAGTAATTGCGCATGGTTAGTGCTACTGCCATAACAATGTTTTCACATGAATTAGGGACGCGGTGAACTGAGCAGTGAGATAATTGTGATCTATGCTAATGATCGCACCTGCAACGTCAGGTTGACATCTCGTGTTATTGTTGACAACATACAGTTGCTGGTGCATATATGTCTCTTTGATTGGCTTAAATTAAAATTTCTCTAGTAATTTAGGCCAATCTTGAGCCACTGCACTAGTATTCAAAGAAAATGCAATTAAGATATTCTTGTATTATTTGCTTAATTGGGCCCTACACTATGTTATTAATTTTTGTCAAAACATGGCCGACACCAATCATTATTTGATAGAATTTTAATTGTTTCTCTCAAGCTTTTAAAGGATAGTAAATGTATGTCACAAAAGTTCTTCACCTTGACTGTCTGTTAATGAAAAAATAATCTGCAACAATAACCCAGCAAGACTAAGTCATGTCCTCTTTGGATGATATTCTGATTTATTTATTAATTTATTTATTTTTGAATATATTTATTTATTTATATTTTATTTTGGCTAAATTATGTTGTATATGATATTTTCCTATTCAGCCAGTATCTTTGTATTTATATATTTTATTTTTTAGGAAAGTATAAGCAGTACGTCTCTAGACAGAGACAACTCAAACATGGATGTGGAAAATGGACCTTATACTGATAAAGCATCAGAATCAAATCTGTCAGATAATTCCAATCTAGATGCAAAATCCAAAGGGGAAAGCCCAGACAGTCCTGCCCCCTCAGTAGAGGAGGAATCAAACATGAGTGCAATAGAAGATGAATCAGTTCTAAGTGATCAAGCCATACAGAATGGGGTGACGCCTCCACCAATAGAAAACTCTGTTGCTGAGCCAGAAGAGAACGACCTTATACTGGAAAGGAACTCAGCAAATGCAGCAGAGGAGCCACCTGGCACACCAGAGAGCAGTGCGGAGGATGTCAGCATCCAGCAGCCCCCTGTTGACCCAAGTCTAGAGGCTCAGCAGCAGGAGGAAGAGCAGGCAGCTGTGGATGCTGCAGGGGTGTCCCCAGGGTCAAGCCAGGGGGGTTCCCCCTCTGGAGATGATGGCCCAGTGGAGGGGGAGGGTGGAGAAGGAGACCTAGCTGCTGGAGTTGATGAGCAGATCCCATCTGTTCCACAGCAGACCAATGGAGATGAACTGGAGCCCAGTATAGAGAATGCAGCTGACAATGCTGAAGAGGACCAGCTGCTGGATGATGGTGATGGAGAGGATGAGGTACTGGATGAGGATGAGCTACTTGATGATGAGCAGCAATCGGATACACCTGTCAATCAGGAACATGTCCGGCCTGCAGCACAAGACAATAACCAACCACAGGCAGGTGAACCTGTCAATCAGGAACATGCTCCGCCCACGGCAGAAGACAGTAACCAACCACAGCCATGTGAACCTGTCAATCAGCAAGATACACCAGCTAGTCAATCGGGAAATAAACAGCAATTAGTTGAGGAGTTTGTCAATAATCAAAAGTCTGCATCTCCCTCACCAACAGATGACCAAGTGCAACAATACGAACCTTTCAATCAAACAAGTGCTCCCTCCACCCCTTTAGGGGATGACCAAAAGGCAGATGAGCCTGTCAATCAAGGTGCTCCACCCACTTCGAAAGATGACCAGACCGAGCCTGTCAGTCAAGGAGATGCTCCACCCATTTCAAAGGATGACAAACAAGACAGTGTTCCAACAGAAAAAGAATTAAAATCTGAAAACAATGAAGAAAAAGTATCTCAGCAAGAAAATCTTTCTGAAATATCCCCAGAAGATTCCTCAGCAGATAAGATAAAGCCTGTGTCCTCAGAGGATGCCCCAGTGTCCTCAGAGGATCTCCAGCCAGCATTAAAAACTGATGATGTATCAGGGGCTAAGACAGTAAGCCCAATGTCTGTGTCATCTCCTGCAGCAGATCCAATGGACACTGAACCAGGTTCTTCTGTAGCAAGAGAAGAACCAATGGAAGTAGACGGCACTGATGGGAAGTCATCCCATGTGGAGAATATGGAGACAGACGCTGAAGAGACACTGGGTTCACTAACCAATCAAAGTGAAGGAGCTCAGGAGCAGACATCAACACGGAATGCAGCAGAAGACAACCAAGTACCAGACGTAGAAATGAGTGGTGACACCCAAGGATCTGGAACTGAAGTCAACGGTGAAACAGAAAGTGCTAATACCATCAAGATTTCAAAAGTGGAGACTGTGACAGCTAATTCTGGAGAAAATGTAACAGAAATCAAAACTGAGTCAGAGTTTTGTAAAGAGGAGACAGGCACAGCTGAAGAAGGGACTGGAATGAAGATCACTTCCGTCTCTGGTGCAACCAAAACCAGTGAAGATGGCAGTCAGGTAAGGGGATGTGGGGTGAAGGGGTTTGGACGGGAAATGACCGCCGTCTGGTTTAAAAAAGGGACTCAAGACAGAATAATGGTCTTTGCTGAAGGACCAAAAGTTCAGTCCACTGAATTAAAGTAACTGTTGGTCAGTTCTTTTATGAAGTAAAATTAACCAAGCATCTCATTTCATTGGACTTCTGCCTGTTTATGTTGGAGCAGAAAAGACTAAATATTTGGCCTAAAGTTAAGACCAGATCTAAGTTGTTCATAAAACTGGTCTGCTTTGTTGTTAGTATATCAAATGATGACTGAAGTGAAGTCTGTTATGTACTCCCTCGAAAATTTCATAGGTAACAACCTGTTACATAATAATTAATGCTGTTTAGGACAGAGAGTTAGGCGAGTGGTCATGGATGTCCAATATCACCGTACGAATACAATTTGATTGTTTAACATAAAATTAAAAAGTGATATGTAATGAGTAGAGTTATCTCCTCTGTCTTACTCCACTTTCACATGTGAAGTACTGCAACTCCTCTAATGGAACAAATGGGGGTCACAATATTCACACTGGGGTTTTGGGGTAAAGGTGACAAGTATGCACATGTATTGTATTCTATACATTCAGGTTAGCAGGTCTGATCTAGAAGACGAGACCACTGAGAAGAGCCCCTCTGAGGCAAAAATAAAGAAGGAAATTTTTGACGATGACCAGAAAGAGAAACAGAACTCCAACACTACAGAATCACCTGCTTCTAAGGATGCTTCTGGTATTACTTGCAACATCAGAATTTTTCTATAATTTATACTTACACTGCAAACATCTTTCTTCAGTAAATTGCAAATAGCATAACTATCTCTGCTCTGATTAAAATTTCTCCTGTGAATCAAGATCGTCAGTTGTACATTTATGGACTGTATCACATGATACTAAAACAAATAAGTACGATGGATTTCTTCATTTCATGAAAGCAGTCTCCAGTGAAGGGAAATCCTCCAAACCAGCTGCTACAAAAACACCACACAAATGTCTGGTCTGTGGAAAGGTGAAAAGCTTTTTTGTAACTGTATTGTCTTTGTAAGAAAGCATGCAGCTTCAATGTGAACTGCATGTCATTNTTATTATTATTATTATTATTATTATTATTATTATTATTTTAACGTAACATTTGGCTTTTCATTAAATCTTACTCCATTTTGTCAACCAGGTGGGCAAGTGCAAGTATAACATTGTACGCAATGGTGACACCAAACACCTCTGCGATGACAGGTGCTTCAAAATGTTCCGCACCAGTCCTGCTGCATTCTTAAAGGCAGAGGCCGCAGCAGGTCCAGAGATTACACAGAGCTCAGCGCCACCTACCTCCTCCCCTGATCGACCTCAGTTCTCCAAACAGCCAGAAAAATGTTGCTCTGTTTGTAAACGGCACGAGGTTTCCGCGGACAAGTTCTTGAGTTGGCAGGGGATGGAGTACTGCTCAGAGGACTGTCTGGACAAGTTCATGACATCTATTAGCACCACATGTTCACTGTGTAACCTCATCATTGCCGAGACTGCCAAAGGAAAACATTGTATCAAAGTGGGTAACACAGTGAGACCCTTCTGTAGCAGCAAATGTATGGAGGGGTTCACTAAAACTCTCAAGGTTTGCTCCTACTGCCAGAAAGACTTGAAGCAGATTGTGGGCAGCTTCATAGCCCCTGTTGGAAATAAGGGAAATGAGGAATTTAAAGATTTCTGTTCACAAGCCTGTCTGAAGAACTTTGAGGAGAAGCTGAAGGGGAAGGAGGAGAAAAAGAAAGACGTTGATGACATTGAGGTGATCTCCACCAAGGAGGGGTCAACACCTGGACAGAGGGTTACACGCTCCAGAACAGGCTCCATTCCTTCTAAATGTACAGTGTGTGGCAAGATTGCGCAGATCAAACATGAAGTGAACTTTGAGGAAAAGATTCACAAACTTTGTAGTGACCCGTGTTTTGCTGCCTTCAGGTATGCTAACAAACTGACGATGAACACATGTGACAACTGTGGAATTTATTGCAACAACGAGGGCACATCACCAATGTTTATACAGTTTGAGGGTCAGCAGCGGAGGTTCTGCAGCGATTTGTGTGTTTCTATTTTCAAGACTTCAATGACAAAGACTGCCTCCTGTACGTGGTGTAAGTCCACCAAGTCCAACTTCGACATGATCGAGAGAGTGGACGCCAAAAACAAATTCCAGCTATTTTGTTCCTTGAACTGTCTGTCTTTGTACCGAGTGAACCTGCAGGCGACCTCCAGCCAGCGAGTGACCTGTGACCAGTGTAAGAGATACTTCCCTGCCCAGTACCATCTGACCATGAGTGACGCCTCAGTCCGTAACTTCTGTTCTTACCCCTGTGTAATGAACTACCAGGCTCAGTTCCAGGCGCCTCAGCGAATTCCTGTGTCACCAGCATCAACCCAGGCCAAAGTCACCACGCCACAGCCACCTAGGATACCACCAACAAACCAAGGTTGGTAGAACCACAATTATATGGTGATAGTATTATTATTAATTTTTCAATATTTGTACAATATGGTATTTATGTCACGAGTGTTATACAGTGCTATCAATATGCACTTCAATCTGTTCTTATGAAAATTGGAAAAGATCAAATGTTGCATGTTTATAGTTATTGAACAGGGTCAAATTCCTTCACAATATAGCCCCAGAAAAGAACAAGTCACAAATGTCCTTTTCAAGGACACTGGAATTAGTTTTGCCATAAATTACCCTTTTCTGTGAAGAGAAATGATGAAAAACTGCTTCCTCATAACCTGCAGCCTGCTGATTGCCACAGTTTCCACTGCCTGTATAACCTAATACCTCGGCAAGTGCTCATAATAAAGTTAAGTGACTTTGGTAGAGTAGGAAGACTGTGGTTAGGTGAGTTCTGCCATTTGATCTGGATTTTTGTTTCACCAGACATCTTGGGCAATGAATGTTGGGAAATTTTTAAGAGCAGGTAACATAGATCAGTTCTCCACTTGCCTGTGGTCATCAAGTGATCAGGACATTGGTCAAGCTGAGGACAGTTGGACGTCATTCCACTTCACAATTTTACTCGGATTTTGACATGAAAAACATACATGGCCTGTTTTTTGTCGTTTTGAAAAATAAGACTTAGTACGTGGAGATTTTCTAGTCTGTTCGTACCCGTCATTTGAGTACTGGAGGAAGCCGCGTAGCCCGGAGAGACTGGGAAGAAGATGCCTGGTGGAAGGTGGGTACAGTAGACATTTGCTTGCTTGCCACAAGTCCTGTATAGGAGGGCAGTTTTTCATCATTTTATTTCATCATTTGCCAAGGGTTGGGATGGTCATTATTGCCTATTTAGGAAATAAAATTAATTGGTATGACACTGCTGGTATTGTATTCAAAGCAAAAAAATAGGACAGAAGTCTCAGATGATTGAAGAGATTAACATTTCCAACTGTCATTGCTTGCTTTTTGAAATATTTACATACAAACAAAAAAAAACATTGAATGATGTTCATTAATTGTGAAACTAATAAGGCAGTATATGGATGTTCCAGGTGACCCATCTGAAGTTTTTCCAATGAAGTTGGTGATGGTGGGTCCTGTGGTGAAGTTAGAGAAGTTACAGGATCAGGATGTGGAGTACACGGAGGTCACGGCTAGGACAGGTAGGCTATGGCATGGTTTTAGTATTATGGTTCTTTTTATCTACAGCTTTTATGATGGTCACTGGTTTTCAGTTTCGTGTGAAATTGAATGATGTAATATTTTAGGGGCAGAATTTGATATCATATACTTTTATTTTAGGAGCCAGCGGAAGAAAATGGAAGTCTTTTGCTGAATCAAAAAAGCGAGAACCAGAGAAGAGAGTGAAGACCAAACACGCTGAAGCCAAAGCATTGCATTCTAAAAAAAGAAAAATACAAAATGTCACTGTTGGGAAAAAGGAAAAATTGCCTGTACCCAATCCATCAAAATTAAGAAGGAACTTAAAGCCCGGAGCAGCTAAACAACCAGTTTCTGCCCGTCTGCAAGCCAGATATAGTATTAATAGTAGTACAGTCACAAAGGCAAAAACTGTTCCCAATTCAAAAGGATTAAAAGTAATAAAAAAAGATATTCAAGTGCCTTCACTGCAACCTGTCATTGACCTCACGAGGTACAATAGTTTGTTCAAGTCCCAGAAACTGTCCAGGTTGAGAAAGAGTGTGCGGTTACCTTCAAAGACCAGACCAACCAGGTCAAAACAGTTGGAAAAGGCGATTTCTTTGAGGACAGGGCCTCGAAAAGAAAAGTGGGATTCAAGAAAAGAATTAGATATGTCTGTGATAGAATACAATAAGTGCAATGTAAAAAAGAATGAACAGTCTGTGATAGAAAGGAACAGAGGCAATAATGTAGTAAAAAGTCAAAATATGTCAAATTCCCTTGTTCCCCTAAAGTCTATGCAATCTTCAAAGACAAGGTCCCGAAAGCTGGATTTATTTAAACGCCTAAATAACTTAATGCAGCCAGTAGTGGTGCTACAGCAAAACATGTCCAATATTCAACTCAACAAGCCAGTTAAGGTGGACGAGGCTGAAATTAATCTGCAGTTGAGTACTCTGGGTAAACCAGCAGGGCCTCCGGTTGGAAGGGGAAGGAAGCTGAGAGACAGAAAAGGAACAGGAACCGCTACTGGAAAGAAAAACCTTGCCAAACGAAAAGTGAAGTTAGAACCACAAACTGACCAAATGTATGGAGGTGTGCGCATTTCACCAAGAAAGCGATCTTCTCAGTTTTCACAGTTTGAAAAAGAAATCTCAGGAACTGTCCTGAGAAAAAGATTAGATAAAACTGCCGTCGCACTAGATGAGAAAAAACTGTTCTCTGATGATTCTGGAGAAATGTCAGAGGAGGACTGTGGGTTCACTGACGTAACAGGAGATCTGTCAGATGATGATGATGATGAAGAAATTGCTAAAACAGGGATGATATCAAAAATAATAGAAAAACTAGGCAAGGAATCAGACACTGACCTGTTAGTTGGTGGAGTGACGGCCATTGATAAAGATGCCAGGGAGAGACCACGTGTTAGAAGAAACTTGAGAAGCAGATGTACATAATATACATAACATTTATATAAAAATAAATACATTACATTTCATTTGTATAAAGAAATGTTGTTTAAGCTAGTCTTGTACTGCCAGCATTTTCACAGTCACGGGATCTGTACCATGCCCCTTCCACCCCCCCCCCACCCCCCACCCCTCCTTTTGTGTGAAGGATCCTGACCCTGTTTAATGTTGATCAACATAAGATGTATTACTTTGTAAGAGAAAAACTTCAATTTTCTTTGCATTTAAGTCTAACATTTCAAAATAGTGATTGGAATGACAGTTTACTTAATACTTTGTATTGTGTCTTGTGATAAATGGAAAATGGTTGAGTATTTCAATAACTCTATTTTCACATTCCAGCTATAGGTGCCACTGTGGCCCCTGGTGGGCTGGGTAACATCCCCATTATCTCCAACGTCATGTCACTGGCTCCTTCCCAAACACAAGGTGACTGTCAGCCTGTTAGCTCCAAATAACTGGACTTTATCAGTAATTAAACTACTACTGTTGGGCACTAAATGCTAAATAAGTGACACCTTACATATTGCTATTAAACAATATAGGTAGTGGCATAACCTGCAGAATGTTATTGTGATTGTGGTTGTTTTGTTTTTATAGCCACACCACAAAACAGGAGCAACAGTAGAGGTACTCAGCCACCCCCCTCTTACACCCCAGCTGGCACCACTGCCAAGGTAAGCACCAGTTACACCAGTAGAGGTACTCAGCCACCCCCCTCTTACACCCCAGCTGGCACCACTGCCAAGAAAGGCAGCAGTGAACACTCTTGGGGGGGTTAATTCCCTGCTTTTCATCACATTACCAGGTATGTCTGTCATGAAGTATATAATATTTTCGAAGTCACAAGCAGTATTAGTTTAACAATATATTTTAATACTGTACTGTCTTGTTCACCATTGCCAAGATAGTTTTGATTGTTCACCAGATTGTGGTATATTTCTGTTCTCAGCCCCAGCCGCCATCCCCTGCAGCAACACAGCAGGTGGTGCGGAAGGTGATCGTCCAGCCACCTCCTCCAAAGTCTGTGAAGAATAAGTCACTGCTGTGTAAACCGTTTACGCAGACCAAGGCGACGTCCTGCCGCCCCCATGTGACCACCACTGGGGTACAGACTGGTAAGCAGGGTCAACCTGGCGTGAAGGGGGGAGGCTTAACATATTTAATATCAATTCTCACAATATTATGAATTCCAATCATAACATCATGTCCTGTAATAATGTCATTTATGTTTGTAGATTATTTTTCTTTGAAATTTATTTGATATAGATACATGATAAATTTTTTATCTAAGAACCAGGTCTTTGCACATATTTATAACAGCAGTTGTGTCCCACATCATGTATACTCTCTGTGTTCATGGGAGTTTGCTTTCTTCCAGACAAGGACAAGGAGCCCAAGAGTATGATTGTCCCGGTACCTGTGCCCATCTATGTCCCGGTGCCCATGGCCATGTATACCTATCCCACTCCATACCCACTACCCATCCCGGTGCCTATCCCGGTACCCTGCTTTATACCTACCACCAAGAAATCTGCGGATTCCATCCTGAAGCAGATCAAGGTAAGAGATGGACATCTTTTGTTTCATATAGTATTGTGCTGGTAAAACTGTTAAGCCCATCTCCCTAGTTTAGTCAAAACCTGATACTAACAATTTTACCAGGAATTACTTTATTTATGAAGGTATGTGGACATGAAGTAGTTTGGATGATGTGGGTAAACTTTGCATTTGTCAGCTTTTAATATATTATTCAGAACCCTGTTCTATTATCTTTTTTCAGGAAATTCAAGAGCGTATGCCAGCTGATCCATTTGAAGCTGAATTGTTGATGATGGCAGAAGCTGTGGCGACTGCGGAGAAAGATGACAGTGACAGCGAGTCTGACAGGGCTGCGGAGGAAGTGAATAAATCTGCTGGTAAGGCTAGAGACCTCTGTCACTTGCTGACATTGTTAACACTGGTTTTTGGCTTATTTTGTACACCTGAAACATTTAAATTGTTTGACGGAAAAAATGTAGTGCATGAAAATTAAACAAAGATATGATAACAGTGTGTCTTGTAACTTCACTCCCTCAGGTGAGACAGCAGCACAACCAGTTCCAGATGTGCCTGTACCTTCCCAGGATGCATTTGGGGAAGATATGCTCCAGATGGCGCTGCGTATGGCCTCAGAAATGACGGACCAACCCATGGACCTGGAAACCTCTCTAGAGCCCGTACCTGTTCAGCAAGGTGAGAACTTCCTTCAGCTAATATTTGTCCTTTTCATCAAAGTCAGAGAAACTCAGTGTTGACAGTAACTAACACAAAGCAAGTAACACTCTGTGGTAAGGCCAACACATTGCCTTGGTTCAATTTTTATACTTGCAAGATCAAACCATGAAGTTCCAGTCTTGTTCAGCAACATGTGCCTGACAAGGTGGAATCACATGGGACATGTTTATGTTGATATCCACTGTGATAACTTGTCTGCTGTAGAATGTACTAACCTGGTGTTACTGTAGCTGTATTGTAACTCATAGCTTTATATCAGCTTGAAATAGACAAGTCTTGCTGAATAGTACATCTTATTACATTAAATAACTGTGTTCCAGGCTCAGGTGTGGATTACAGCACTATAGAGGCCGACCCCGATGTCATCCACACTGCTGTGCCAACACGAACCAGGTCTAAAGGCCGCGGCCGAGGCAGGAGAGGACGAGGCGCTAAGAGGACCAAAGTGGAGGAACCCCCTCCTGAACCGACCCCACCCCCACCCCCACCCCCCGCCCAAGACCAACCCACACCCCCTGACGCTGACATGCATCTCAAGTACACTTACGGCGTAAACGCATGGAAACACTGGGTCATTCAGAAAAACATGCAGCTGGAAAAGGTGACCTCAAAAGGCAGCAAACTGAAGCATTTTAAGACAGATCTGCTGCAGATGACGGCAGATGAGCTGAATTTCTCCCTGTGTCTGTTTGTGAAAGAAGTGAGGAAACCCAATGGAGAGGAGTATGCCTCTGATAGCATATTTTACCTTTGTCTAGGTAAGTTTGCTGGGATATGCTAGATATTTTGTATGAACCTTTTGACAACATATGGCATATTGCTGTAATGATAGAATGACCCATTGCCATTTCTCCATGGTAACTTTTAGGGGAGTTGTAAGTGACATTTATTGAAGGTAAAATTATCTTTCAGGCATTCAGCAGTACCTCTTTGAAAATGGCAGGATTGACAACATCTTCACCGATTTCTACTATGAAAAGTTTACAGAATGTCTGCATGAGGTGGTTTCCAAGTACCAAGCTCGGCTCAACACAGCAGGTAAACTTGTTTGTACTAACATTATGAAGTAGTCTTAATGGGGCCAGATTTTCACAATTTGTCTTAAATGGTTAAAGATGAGAGTCTTTTGGATATCTGCAGACATTGAGGTGTGGTATTTATGTCCTCCACACCACCCATTTAGAGCTGCCCTCCTGTGGTGCTTGCATTTTATGAATTTCTTAACAAAAAATATTTTTTTATTCTTCTTCAGAGTTAACCTGCACATATTCCTCCTAGATATATTTCATCCTGACAAAATAGTAAGATAACTACCATTGGTTCAGATTACCAAATAAATATTATATTCCAGGTCTTCTGGTGTGCCGTATAGAGGAAGAGCACCTATGGGAGAGCAAACAACTCGGTGCCCACTCTCCTTATGTGCTGCTAAACACCCTGGTCTACTTCAACACCAAGTACTTCATGCTGAAGACCCCTGCAGACCACATGAAGCTGTCCTTCTCTCACATCATGAAGCACTGGAAGAAGACAAATGTCCCCACTGGGAAGACCCCAGGCAGGAGTGTCTACCTCAGATACTACGCACCTACACCCAACAACCAGAAAGGTACACACACCTGTTGAAACAAACATCTTCTGATTTCTTAGACTTGACATCTTGTTTAACATAGCTGTATTAATCAAAATTCTGTATTTTTTATCATGAAAGTATGGATTTTGTCACTCTGTTTTACTGTAGAACTTGCATGTGATCAAGACTACCAAGGTCACATATGTTCAGTTAAAAATACTTCATAATACTCGTGAAATATTAACAAATTTCTCTGTGTTCAGTTGAATCAGGTCAAAAGAGGAAGAGGGAGGAAGTGCCCGTCTTTGAACAAGGAGAAAATATTGACAATCCTCTCAGGTGCCCTGTGAAGTTGTACGAGTTTTACTTGTCTAAGTGGTAAGATTGCTTCCTTAACTTTAAATCATTCTATTGAAAAAGGTGAATTGCCAGGTCCATCCATTTAGTTTGTTTTAATCACTTTAAAGTCATTCCCTACAGTAATGGAATAGATGACTTATTTCATTCATAGTTGACTGACTACAGAAGAAATGGGTCCTAGTCAAGTTTGGTCTTTCTTTGCTAGTAAACATTCCACAAGAAGATGCTTTAGTTGATGTCTTATTTTGTTTTCAGTCCTGAGAGTATCAAGAGTCGCAGTGACCTGTTTTACCTGGTCCCAGAGAGGTCCTGCGTCCCTGACAGTCCCGTCTGGTACTCCACTCTGCCCCTGCAGGTAGAGGCTCTGAACAAGATGCTGGCCAGAGTAATGATGGTTAGAGAAGTACAGGAGGCACATATGACTATACAGCCTGTATATGTGTGAGGTCCAGAGGGCACATATGACTATACAGCCTGTATATGTGTGAGGTCCAGAGGGCACATATGACTATACAGCCTGTATATGTGTGAGGTCCAGAGGGCACGTGACTATACAGCCCTTTTTGTGAGAGAAACCATGAGAAGATTCTAGAACTGAATAATTAACTGCTGGGATCTCGGGGACGGTATGTTCAAAATCCTGGAAATGACAGCCTAATGCATTATTTTAGTGATGATATAAGGGCCCATTCGTTTGGAGCGGTTATACTCTGTTGCCATATAATGTGATACTATTTGTATGCATATTCACGTAGGCTTTAAGCTATCTACACCAATGACTGTACGAACTGTGAGAAAGCTGCGTCTGTTCTATATGTATGTGGATAAAAGGACAGCTTCTTGAAGTGAGAACAAGATTAATGGTTGCCAGATTTCTAGCGCAGTTTTAAGAAATACTGCATCTCTTCTTTCTAATTGTTCCTTGTATCAAGGGATATATAATACTATTGACGTACTCAAGAAAAATGTTGAAATTATGTTAAATGTTAGTAATTGTACATATAGAACAACAGTAGACGTTTCTCTTTATTAGTGCTGTTGTAAGAATATTTTTACATTATATAAATACTGAAAAGTCGCTTGTTTTGTCCGCGGAACATGCATGGAAGTCCATAGTTTTGTGCGCTACGTCACCTAAGTGAGCGTTGTCATGGAAGGTTTATATTGTTTCTGTACAAACAACTTCCAAGGTCACGTGTCAATATGGAAAGACGAGATTTCCAGACGAGAAACGTGATGCGTACCTGGGGTAGAAGGCACGGGCGGGAAAATTCGAGGAAACCTCTGCACAGAAATATTTTGTGAAAAGATTTGCCAGTAAGGATGCAGCGTTCAGTGGAAGATTATTAATATCACGTTGTCGTTCGAGTGACACGATATTTTACCACGTGATAGACCTGGTTAGAACTATAGGCCTTCTAAGAATAGGAATAATATTGTCATTTATGAATGAGGTCAAGGTCGTCCTAGGCGGACGGTTTACCCCGGTGTAACAGAAATGAAAGTCCGCTAGGAACCGTAGTCCGCTTTCCCTCACTTTGTACACCTGCCTACCAGTTGTAGCTAGTGGCACATGAATGTACGTACAAAGACCGATAGTTTTGTGTGCATGTTTAATCCCATAGAGATTGATGTAACGTAATTCTATACTTAAAAACCACTCGTCGGGTAGATTTCAGTGATATTATCAGTATTGTATAGTAGTGTAACTGTAGAGCGGTTTCTGTAGAAAAGGCAGCCGTACATGTAGAACAGGAGCGAAGCCTCCATCATTAAAAGGAAAACTTGCTTCAGTTAGAGATACGATGTTCACCGTCTTGTTATTATTACAGTGAGCATTATGTGGTCTTCAATGCAATCCTAGTTACTTAATAAACTTTTTTTACAAGAGCGATGGTTTTTGTTGTGCTTCTGGGTTAACTTTTGTTTTCGGCAGGACAAAAAAGAAAAACGATGTAACATTTTAAATATTTTATTTTATAACTGTTAAAGACAACTAAAGATGGCGCAGAGAGCTTTGTCGTGGTGATCGTAACACTGCACTCTCTAAGGTAGGATTGGCGACGCTGAGTTGCGCGTTTTTAACTCTACATCGCCGGTCCTGTAAACCTACTCATTTAAAGAAACTCACTAGAAAGCTTCCTGCAGCATGCAGTGTTGGTGGGGCTGTCGCACGGCCCTGTGTGTGATAGTTCATCTCCAAGATTATATAATAATAAAATATGTGCTCTGTGAAATACTTCCAAACGTTAGCTATGCGTATGTGCAGTTTACGCTTACACGTTTAATTAAGCAGATATGTAATTCGGATATATTATACTGAATATTGTTACAGCAGGTTGAGGAACAACAGTGCCCTAGCTAGACACGCACACGTGTCCAATTCCGCTATCACCAGAACTAACTGATTTGCTTCGTTCAACGTTAAGTTATAAAAGCAATATGTGTAACAATTAAATACATCAAACTCAAACTCAAGCTATAAGCGTAACTTTATACCATTTACAGTGACTTTGCTTGTGCAAAAATAGATTTGTGCAAAATTTATACAAATGAACTACTCGCCGCCCCCACAAAGAGGGGTTTCAGTCTTTCCGCCCAGTTTTATCGTTTACCGCCCGTTTTAGTGATATATTTACAAGTTGTCTCTGACTGCAATGTTGGGTTCCGTAGCATATCCGGCGTGCACAGGGTGCGTTCTTCACCGTTGTCGCCGCCAGGACTATGATATTGTCACAGGAGGCCGGGGAGGGCCGACTGCTACCAAAACAGAGGTAGTATTTCGGCCAGAAATCACAAACGCTGACGACGACAAACCAAGTCCGGTCTAACTTCCTTAAGATGGACCAGGAAGGAGAGAGAAGAAGAATTACACGCGCCAGGATTCCAACATTGCATAGTTGACTTCAACGTGTTCTGGAAGGTACCCGTCTCTTCGCCCGTCTTCACAGTGGACATCACAATGACTGAATATGACCATAGCACTACGTCCTTCAGCACAGCACGAGCCGCCCCATGCCATGTTGTCATATAGCCAGTATAGAGAGGATAAAGATTAACACTATTTTATATATGAGACAATGAAATGATCTCCTCTACTTACTGCGAACACTGCGCATTCTAGATCGTTCATTATCTAAGTCCAGTTTACACTGAAATGAACTGATTTTCTTGCGCATTCTGGATCGTTCACTATCTAAGTCAAGTTTACACTGAAATGAACTGATTTTCTTGCGCATTCTGGATCGTTCACTATCTAAGTCAATTACACTAAAATAATCTCCTCTACTTTCGCATTCTGGATCGTTCACTATCTAAGTCCAGTTTACACTTATATGCACTGATTTTCATGCGCATTCTGGCTCGTTCACTATCTAAGTCCAGTTTACACTCAATGAGAAATGGATCTCGGGTTTAATGGCGCAGGATGTGCAATGGATCAGTAAGTATCACAATAAAATTAAGTTTTGTTTTTCAGTTGTTATTCCTTTCTGTGCGCGACTATTATCAACATACAGTGTCGTCTGAGCAAGTCCAGTCTTCTTCAGTTGCTCACGCACGAACAGTGTCTTACGAATCAACAATAAATGCAATAATACTGGCAGTGATATGCTGGAATTTTAAATAACTAAACGCCACCCCAATTACTTCTTGTAGTAGTATCGGTAGTACCCACTCTTGCGCGCAGCGTATGGAGAGTAACTCTTCCGTGGTGCCGGCCGCTGGGGTGGGGCCGGGCCCTTCCCGCCACTTCCACATCTCACCAAACAGCAACCGCAATTATTGCCTTTACCACCCGCGCCCATCCCCGAGATAGTGAGTTTCAATTTGGCCTCTGCTTTTAATTCATTATTATAGAGATCAGTGGCTCGAATAGTGTATTCTAATGTCCTCCCGTGGGGCTGAGTTATTAACTTGTCCGTGGCAATGATATTGCCTTTCTGGGGGTCAATAATGACCACTCCCTCGGGTTTCCCGAACAGACGGTAATCGTAGGCCGACTCCAGCTCATCAATCTTGTCATAGGCGAAGGGCGTGGAGAGGATGCTCCAAGGAGGGGTGGAATAGTGCACCACGTGGCGATACTCATCGTGGGTAAACCTGGGTGGGTTGTCATTGATATCACTGAGGATAATGGCCGCTTGCGCCGTGGCGTTCACAGGAGGAACCGTGTTGCCGACCGCGTGCACCTCGAAGGCATAGTACTTCAAGCCCATATCGCGGTCCATGGTGCCTGTCACGATGATCTGGCCAGTCGTGGGATCCAACTTGAAAGGCACTGGAAACACGAGAAAATATAATATAATAATATATAAATGTGATCTAGACAAATGGAGAAACAAGGAGTTTTTGAAATGGTCGTACCCTTAAGGACCATCTCCAGTTCAACTTAGAAAACTTGTCTGTTTATATCCTGTATAGTGATTAGCAATTGCTAAAATAGCATTTGTTTTTGGACAATTGGATTTATATGGTGAGTTAAAGCTAAAGTTCTTGGTTGGTCAGTCTCATGAACTGTAAAAACACACACCGTATTTCAATCACTTTAAAATTGAAGAAAGGTGTTCAAGGGGAACGCTTGTAGCGTTACACAAAAAAACGTTAGTAAACAACAATGGTGGCCACTTTATGAAAACCTAAGAGTTTATCCTAACACATCTTGTGCCTACTAAAGCCAACAGATGCAAAGTGAACCCCGTCTTCCAGACACTTACATATATCTTTGTCTTTCTGAGCTATATAAACTGGAACTTTCTTGCCTCCTGGACCTAGGCTGTCTTTGGCCTGGATGGTCCCTATAACACTGCCCACCGTCTGTTCCTCTGGAGTGTAGAAGATCAGATCGCCCACAAAGTATGGTCTGCCTCCCTCTCCAAGTGGGATGGGTTTGGTTAGGCTGGGGTCTATCTTGACCATGACGTCAGTCTGGCCCTCTAGTGTCGGATAGCCCATGTCCATTGCCTTGATCTTCAGCATATAGGTATCTTTGGTTGGTGGGTAATAGACGCCTTCCAGAGCCTTGATTTCGCCTATGACAGAAAACAACAAGGTAAGCTTTGATATTTTAGCAGTTTTTGCTAAGGTATAACAATTCAACCTCTTTTTTGTTCTTTTCGTTTTTATTCTATTCCAAATGCCGTCTTTCTGCTCCGATTGCCCATAGGATCCATGTGAACCAATTTTCATTTCGGACTTGTCTCCAAGAAGTTCACGTGAGTTTTGCACAAATTTACCTGTTTTCATTTCCACTTTGAATTTGCCAAATGCGTCGCTGTCCAGGAGGTACATGACTTCGTTGTTGGGAGCTGTAGCGTCTCTATCCAACGCTGTCACAGAGCCAATCATGTTGCCGGCCTTCACGTCTTTACCGACCTCAAACACGGGCATGGCGTCCTGCTGGAACACTGGGGCGTTGTCGTTCTCGTCGTCTAGGGAGATCTTCAGACTGGCGGTGGACGACTGGCTGGGAGACCCTTGGTCTGATGCCACTACCTGTGTGGAGATAACCTGGACCTTTCACAACCCATCTAAAACCACAGGACTCACTTCTCTTACAAATAACCAACTGAACTACTGTTAAAACCAATTACTTGATTGCTTAACAATCTGATCCGTTCTCATTCATAGTAAAAAGCCCTCGCTTCTGCGTGAGGGTTTTAATTTTATAAAGAATTTTCAGTAAATTTTTCACCTGAAACTCATAGCTGGCTTTGCCCTCCCTGTCGAACTGGCCCACGCCTGACCCACTCACTGCCACCATACCGGTAACAGGGTCAATGGAGAACATGTCGCTGTCAGGACCAGTGAGAGAGTACCGCACCGTCTTGTACGCCGGCTCCTCGTCCTTGTCCGTGGCCACGATAGGCTGGCTCTGAAAGAAGCGAAGACAATATTAAAATATCGTGTAAAATGACGTAATTAAATTATCAGTCGCGAGAGTGACTAAATGCTTCCCAGACGTAATGCGATACCATTTCAAAAAGAAGCAAAGATATTTGTTCTATCAACCTATGCATTTAAATAAAGTGATTTAAATTATTGTGTTTGTACAATTATTGCGTCGTTATTTCACATAACAAAAAGAGACATAATGGTCATTTTCACAGTTTAAAGCTGCATTCAAAATATATATATTAAGTGGCACAATGTGGCGCACTATATCTTGAAAAGTAAATTTAAGTTTAAAAAATGTGGCTAAAGACCTGGCAGTGCTCTTACCAATCGAACCATCTGGCCTGGTTTTGGCTTCATATTATCCTCCATGATGAAGCCCTCATAAGAGGACTGCGAGAAGACAGGTGCGTTGTCGTTGGAATCATCCACCAGCACTGTCACCTTGGCTGTGGCCGTCTTAGGCGGTGTGCCGCGATCTGTGGCCGTCACAGTGAACTCAAAGCCAGCAACACTCTCACGATCAAAACTCTGCAGAGTGAAGATCTCTCCGTTATTCACATCGATCCTAAATGGTACTGAAATGATATATGTTCGTCTCTGTAATTCTGCTTCAGTTCTAAAGCCGATGACCATTTGGCATTATCTAAAGTAATGTGCTTTATATTTCTTTATCTAGATAAAGCAATATATTACACATGACTAATTGGATTAAATTATGTGTAGCAAATTGATTTATCCAAAAAGTTAGAATTTCTCGATTTTTTTAATTAATTATTTAAATTAAATCAAAATGATGACAAACCCACTCAAGTCAATTCGTTAATGCGTTAAAAACGGAGATTTAAACTAGAAATGAGCACACGTGTAGGTTAAGTGTTGCAACTGCTGCCGTTTACCTCCAGGTTCTATGATGCCGTATCTGACGGCGTTGGGTACAGTGATATCCCCTCTCGCTTTGGCCAGGGGCTCGTCTATGGTCACCAGTTCATCGTCCTCAGTCTCCCCCTTGGACTCAAACCTCAGCGAGATCCCACCTAGGTTAGGTAACACGTCAGACGGGGCACTCTCCGGGTCCACGGCAACCACCTGCCCGACAAACGTGTTGATTGGTTCATTCTCCCTGGCATGGAATGTGTATTCCGGTTGTCTGAAGTACGGAGCCTGATTAATGGGGACGTTGATCGTCACGGTGGCTGTGTCCTTCTTCCGTGGGACGCCGTTATCAAAGACATCTACGGTCAAGTTGTACTGGTTCTTGATGACGTCTTTGTCGAGAGGTGTCACTACAGTGATTTCACCTGAAACAAGACAGAACAACACTTTGAAAAAAAAGATAAATCCATGTCATTTTAAAAGACGATAGGATCTCCCAGTTAAAATAACAGGGAGTAAATTATCGACATCTTCGTCCAGCAGTGTCACACATTTATTTCACATAAAACCAAAATAAAAAGATGCACTGTTTTTTATTTGGGTAGCAAAATGGACATCAACTTCCAAGACATAAAGATCTCCCAGGTTATTAATTCCGTCAAGAAATGGGCAGAGGAGTAATATAACACCGATAACTTAAATAACAGTCGCCTTTGTTTCAAGAATGACTAAAATGGCCTTGTATTAGATTGTCCTCAGACTAGGCATATTCCATATGTTATACCTGTCTACCGGTATGTGTATAACGTGTATTTAGTAACATCTCACCTGTGTTAGGGTCTATGTGTGTAGTAAAATCTCACCTGTGTTAGGGATTATGTGTGTAGTAACATCTCACCTGTGTTAGGGTCTATGTGTGTAGTAACATCTCACCTGTGTTAGGGTCTATGTGTGTAGTAACATCTCACCTGTGTTAGGGATTATGTGTGTAGTAACATCTCACCTGTGTTAGGGTCTATGTGTGTAGTAACATCTCACCTGTGTTAGGGTCCACCTCAAACTTCCCACCGCCGCCTCCCTTCAGTATGTACACCAGCTGCGTCTTGCCATCACCGTCAGGGTCCACGGCGAAAATCTGTCCCACCACAGTCCCCGGGGGTACCACAGTGTCCAGGTCAAACGTGTACTTGGACTGGGTGAACTTCGGGGCGTTGTCGTTGACGTCTTTGACGGTGATTTTCAGAGGACTGGAGTCGGTCTTCCCACTGCTGTCAGTGACGGTGACCTGTGGGATATTGTAAGAAAATGAAATGTATTTCATGTTTGGTTCAACGATAGAACTCGTGCAGTATGTAACTGAGCAAAAATCAAAATTGTGTTTCAGTGAATTCACATTTTGTATACATCTGACCACGTATCACTGTGTGCTTTTGATGCGTGCCATCACCTTCAGACGGGTTTGCTAATTAAATTAAGACACCAATGTCAAAATGGAATGGGCAGAAATGATGATACATGCACAAACTACATTTGCCTCTCATGCTAACTACAGATGGTACTAACCCGGAGATTATACTCTTTGGTTTTCTCGGAATCAATGGCCCCCGGTTTCTTTACTGTGATACGCCCGGTTTTAGGGTCGATAGCAAATATGTCGCTGCCAGGCCCAGAGAGGGAATAGCGGACCTTATCTGCATCTACGAGATCAGAGTCTGTGAAACCCAATGGCAAGCTCTGGAAGTAAAACGTGTGTGAGATGAAAAAAGGGATGCAGTAACGCGGTGATTAATTGCTGTAAAATGTTTCATTCTATCAGATTTTGGACATGGTTCGAACTTTTTTCTAAGTGTCAACTCTATTTGAAAAACTCTATCCTATCCAATCACTGCATCCAGATCAATCTTTGAAATATATGCCGTCTATATCCGGTGTATATCCGCCATTATGAGACTCAGTGTGTTATCTTTAATTTGAATGTTTTTTAACCAACAGCTGCTAATGGCTTATAAGTGACGTAACATAACATATATCATCCTATATCATGCTATGCCTAGCAAGCGCGTCATCTTGCCTTTGGTTTTTATCCGATTCTTTCGTTTAAGTACACACTGTTCTATATAGTATATTACCGTTGATCTTATGCATCATGGCTACCTTTGGATCATAAAACGTCTTCAGAAAACCGTTTCAATCACTGCTCTTATAGATACTTTATCTTTGAACTTTAACATAAGGGGCAAATAAAAGAAGACATCATGTAACAAGTAAATGTATGGTGACGTACTAGGATGACTTCCTGGTCCGGGATAGGCGTGACGTCATCCTCGGTCACTTCTCCCGTGTAAAAGCTGGCCGAGAGTTTTGGGGCGTTGTCATTGATGTCGTCTAGTATAATCTCCACCGACGCGTAAGACTGGAAAAAATTGACAACGGTGACCATATGCTTCGTACTGCCACAACACAAAAATAATTGCTTAAAACACTTGACAAGAAGTATTAATTGAAATGAATGTAAGAAAATTTGCAGAGACGATACAGATGTCGTTTTAAACTGTAGTGAATCAGGGCCGTAGCCTCCGGGGGGGCAGGGGGGGCAGCTGCCCCCCCTGGGATTTAGAATTTTCCACACTGGTAGGGAGACACCCTCTCCCCCCTCGGGGGCTTCGCCCCCTCGTGTCCGCCTACTGCCCCCCCCTGGCATTTTGCTCAGGCTACGGCCCTGTGAATTTATTTTAAGTAAAGATCAAAGTTTCAAATCTGGCTGCACCTTACCTCTCTAGGTACGTCAGCCATATCTTTGGCCCCTACCACAATACCAAACATCTTGTTAATCTCTCTGTCTAACAACTCGCTCTGTTTCTTCACAGTTATCCTGCCGTTCTGAAGGCAAAAACCACACCCTTATTACGGTTGTATTCGTGAAGGCAAATAAAACTATGTTTGAATGTTGGCCATGTAGGTCTCATAAACTTAAGAGTAGACTTTTGGTCATAAAAGCAGATTGTATTTAAATTAAATGCAAATTTAGATTACATAATGAGATTCACTGACATCAGTTTACCAAGCACCACAACCGTGAAGTACCCGGATGTCACTCACCTGGTCAATATCAAACACATCGGAGCCAAACCCGGGCACGAGGCGGTACTCAATATCTCCATTGGAGCCCTTATCAACGTCGAACGCTGCCACTTCTCCTACGAAGGTCCCTGGACTGGATTCCTCAGGGATGTGGAAGGTGTACTGGTCTTGACGGAACTTGGGAGGATTGTCGTTAATGTCCTTGATGATCACCGTCACCGTAGTTTCAGCCGTCTGGAAAATGAACATGGAATTTAGCTTTGAGAGTTTATGAAACGCAAAATGTTGAATAATATATGTATGGTTATGCGAAATTTTTCTTACATCAACATCTTATGGCTAATTTATGAGCAATGGTATATATTCTTCAATATATCGGAAATATTTTGATAAAAAAATACATGCAAATACAAAATATTTATTCTCAAACTTACATATTTGCCGTCAGTTACTCGGATTTGAAGCAAGTGTTGGTCTTTCTCCTCGCGATCTAGTTCCTTAGCGGAAGTAATCCAACCGCTTTTTTATAGAAAATGGATAAAAAAAACATATCAGAACACACTTCAAAAGGTGTATGAAAATTCATAGACTGAATATCTTTTTCCATATATTAAGCTTGGGGGGACACTAAGAAAATGAGTAAATACTGTTTAAAAACTTTTGTTCATGCTGTAAGTTAACAGAGTGTTATCTAATATATTATACGTACGAGTTGGAGATTTCAAATATACCATCTTCATTGCCAGAGATGATGTCATAGGTCAAAAAGACGTCCTCGTCACCATCTCTATCGGTTGCCTGGAAAAAGAAAACCAAGTTTGCACACACTCCAAATATTCACTGGAAGATTACTCTACACTTGTATTTATGGTATCATTTCAGTGAATTACAACTGGAGTGTTATGCCCTCATACCGTAGTTTGTGCTATAAGTGTCCCGATGAAGGATCCTTCTGGCACGGTCACTGTTTTAGGCGGGCCAAATACCGGAGGATAGTCATTGGTCTCCTCAACTGTCACTGTCACTGGAACGCTGGCTGTTCTGTTAGAGATGAAAAGCGATTGTAAAATGCTATTTGGAATATGATTATCAACATGAATAAATGAAAAAGTGACAATTAACAGATATCCACTGAAAAGGCTTCGTCTTAATTCCCAAGTGTTTCATTTACTATCAAATTTCTTTAATAAAGCAGATCAAATACTAAGCATGTACAATGGTAAATAAGACAATAAATTAGGTCGAAGTGAATTACAAGAATCCTTGCAAGAAGTGAATGTATAATATTACTTCACTACTTGCTGAAAATGACGTCACATCATTACACTTCTAACAGGAAATGGCGTCATTACTTCACTAACCTTCTCACTGAGGCGTCATGCGGCGAGTCTGTCACGACCACGTTCATGGAGTAAGTTGGGAAGATCTTCTGTCGGCGCAGCTCCTTCAGACCCGTGGTCAGCCTGATGTAGCCGTTCTCGTCGATATTAAACCTGGTAAGATCGATATCTTCTGCCGGCCCCGGCTCCCGCGTGAGGTCGCTAATGGCTAGCTTGGTCTCACTGAAGTGGTCCGTATCTGGGTCTGTGATGACAATGTTATCGCCTTCCTGGAAAGCCACAATCATTTATCATACCTCTATCCCTTATATATATTTATTTTAATACACTGCAACTTGTTAGCCCCAAAGGAATACAAGATCCCCGCTTTAGTTAAAAGATTGCCTATTTCGTCTTTAATCAACAAACTTCATCGAGCACCTTTCCAACCTGATTAGCCAATATTTAACATCCATCGTTTTGTAAACCAAGTCCTAAGATACAACCTGATTTTAATATTTGTCTGAGTGTGAATGTCAAGTCTCTGTCCCTCTCACCTGCTGTACTGCCGCCCCGACCTCATGCTTGTCTTTGATGGTGTAGGAATAGGAATTTCTGTCAAACTGTGGAGTGTTGTCATTGACGTCTAAAATCGCTATATTAACAGTGGCATCAGGATCACTGTCAAAACGCTCTGCAGATTCGGTCTCCTGAGCTTTTACCTATGGAGCAGGAGATAAAAATACCTACAGATTTTGTGTTTTAAGACTATCTTCAGCTGACATCAAAAGATCAGGTTCAAGCAGACGACATTCACACCTTTTACCGCCTGTAAGTACATCACATTATACGTGTCTTTTTCTATGTAACATACGTCTAGAGATCAAATTAACAGTATTTAAATAAGCCAGTCAAAACTTGTTGGTCCCGTGTTTTCTGCATAAAACAATTACACACGCACCAAAAAAAATAATAATAAATAAATAACTATAGCCATGACAGACTGATATACTAATCTGAAGTTTTATAGTTAGCTTACCGTCAGTGTTATTGACGCCAGTTTTTCTCTGTCTATGAACTCAGGTTTTAAAATTGTGATTTCTCCGGAGTTGGGATCAATTCCAAAAGCACCGTCTGGGTTGTTCATCAGCTGGTATTCAAACACTGCATTTGTTCCCTGAAAAGACGCGGTGAATTAGAAAAAAATATTATCGCAACTAAAAGAACAAATTCAGTTTGCTTTAAATAACAGCTACAGTATCAAGCACCTTTTAGCGCAAATTTTGTCTTAATCTAAAATGATCCGTACATAGGCTTTGTAAACAAGGGGCGTTAATCAATCCATCTGACAAGAATACACAGATCTGACTGGGATACTTTCATCCGGGTTTTTTTTTTTTTTTTTTTTTTTTTTTGGGGGCCTCTGTGCTTTTCTCGGTTTCTGATACCACCTTATAACCCAGCCTGGTCTTATCCTTACAAAATCGTTGTCCTCTGCCTCCACTTGTACAACTATGTCCCCCGCCTTGGCGACGGGGCTTTCTTCTATCTGAACATCATAGATGATCTGTTTGAAGGACGGGACGTTCTGGTTGATGTCCAAAACCACCACGTGCAATGTTGCCGTGTCTGTCATGTCCTCTTCTTCGCCTTGGTAAGCCTAGATAGATTAAGACATTCTAACTTCCTAAAACTGGGATGCAGTGGAGATGATTGAATGAGTACTCATTGCAAAGAAATTGTAATCAAGACAGTCGTTTAAGGAGAGTTTCAGTCTTTGCGGCACCGTCAGTATCCCCCCAAAAATGCTCGATTTCCACTTTAAATTTATTAGATAAAAGATAAACTGCTAGATGGATTATTTACACGACTTATGCTTTTAAAAAGCTGACGGCAAATGATCTTTCAAATACCTGTATGGTAAAAGTAAAGTTGACAAATCTTGGTTGCCCATTCTCGTCGATAGATCTAGGAATAGCTTGCTTCTGGCACAATCTACCGTCATCTTCATTCAGACGGAAAAACGCCTCCCAATAGTTGGCGGTCCCAGGTCTGCCTACGAAAACAATTGACGGGCCGTTCATTAAATTACCACAGCAAATAATCTGCTTCTAACTTAAGTAGTACAGTTACCAAATTGTTGCCAAGAATGGCTGTAATAATGCCTATTATGTCCCGTACACGCCCGTATAATGTCAACACCGACAGTGTGACAACACTGTAAATTGTTACCTTGCTGTGAAACTAGGTATGCTACAAAAACTTACATTGATTTCTCAATTAGTTTGTGTGATTTTATTACGGTTTGTATGTTTTCTTTGTTATTTTGGTACTTTAAGTGACTTCTCCATTTGGAACTCCCGTCGTCTAACGCGAGACTTGAATCATCGAATGGTAAGTGAGTAATACAGCGCGTGATTGGATGAGGGATTCTGGGTGGTGACTTTGTCTTACCATCTATTATTCTGTATTTTATGGGCCTGGATTTGGCTTCATCTTGGTCGACAGCATAAATACGAGGTGTGGTTTCAAAGCAGTCTTCACGATCCGACTAAAACAAAACACCAAGTCATTTCAGCATCATATTGGCATAGGCCTACAACATGCAATATAATTATACATAACGTTGACACCCTTAAAAGGAATAATGATAACAATATCAATAACAACAACAACAACAACAATAATAATAATAATAATAATAATAATAATAATAATAATTCCTTGTCACTCTCTTTATGATTGAGATATCATCATTGGTTTATTTATTCACTGGTTAAATGTCAAAGCAGAAATATAAGATTTAACAGTTAATATACATTTGCATGTCGCCCAATTCAGAATTTGTTAAATTTTGCATGCGACATATCATATATTACATAAAAGATTAGGAAGCAGACATACAGTTTTGAAATGCAAATGACATAATTAAGACGCTAAACAGACATGTACAAAATGAACTAAACATACACAAAGGCAGTTGTATACATACATTGGTCAACTATAAAACGGCTATGTTAACATTTATGTATTGCAAACAAAATACTCTTTTTTTCATTTCAAATTCACGCAGACAATTTAGCCTGAAAACAATATAATAATGCAGATGTTACTCAGCAAAATCACCACAGCAGGAATGTCGTTATATAGAGCACATGGTTTCGTAGTACAGTCGTATTATTCTGTCATGCACCTAGCAACAACAGTAGCAGCAGCAGTAAATACAGTATATATACAGAGCTTATCTGGTTTGTTACCTGTGTCCACTTACCACAATGGTTTTATTGTCTATTTCACTGGTCCACTACACGCAAGAAAAGTATGGAATAACAACCGTGATACTAAACAGTGTGAACAATATGTTCCCAGACGCTGAGATATGATTCATCAACTTGGGTGTACGATTTTGCAGAATTGGTGAATTGAAGAGCAGTGTGGTTAAAATCACTGAATTAACACTCTAGAGGTGAGGAGCGGGCTTTCACCGCCGAGATCTGTTTCCTCTTTAATCGTGACAGGCGAACATTTGCTATAATCAATTCAATTTATAAGTACATAGGCATGAGTCATGACGATTTGACTTCAAGGTTAATCTGATCATCGAATCTAGGTCCCATTATTGGCTTTCTACTAAAACGGTATAGATACTATTCTTTTCCTGTGAATGTAACGTTTTCTCTGTGTGTGTGTGTGCGTGCACGCGTGTGTGTGTGTGTGTGCGTATCTCGCGCGTCCGCGTTCTTACAAATAAACCTCGTTAAGTATTTTTTTTATCATAATATAAAGCTCACCTGAATTGGTTTCTCTCCGATGACTTCAGCATAATAATCCGTTTCCAAAAATTTTGGCCCCAGATCGTCAACGTCCTTCACCCTGATGGTAAGAGTAGAGTCGTTGAACTGGATCGGAAACCCTTCATCCTGCAAACAGACAGTTGGCAAACGATTTAAACAGATCCACGTGTAATTTTTTAAAACTAACCGCAGACCTCGTTGTCGACCTGTATTTTCAGCAGCAATCTAATCCTATCGTAAAAAATGGTTTTTTTTTTTAACTAAGGCGCCTTGAGTCCCATTCACTTTATATTAACTCAAACCATTTTGTTAAATTCCAAGAATCAGTCAGATTTCTTTGGTTGCAACCCCTGTGCGTAATCCGCCTTCTTTCCGCCATCTCTACTCGTGCGGATACATCCCATTACCGCCGAGATCAGCTGATCGCATCCCACGTGATCAGATACTAGATCTATTCCTTATTTATTTCCTTTCATTTGAATTAGGAACCAGGGCAGTGAACAAGAACTTACCTCCACAAAAACATTCAACTTATACTCTCGTGCTCCAGCGTCATAATCCAGTTCTTCTTCTAGATCTATCCTTCCGTCATCAGAAATTGTGAACACGGTTCGGTTTTCATATTCTCCATCTGCTTCTATTCCCTACAGACCAAGGAATATTTCTGATTAAAACATTTCTGTGTTGAAGTACTTAATGACTTTTAATAAAATAATTTCATGGATCTCGGACCAGTTACATATTGACAGAGAAGTGTATACTTCCCTCATATATCTCATCTAAATGATGTAATTAATAAAGAATGCATTGCTAATGTGATTTCCCCATCCCACTGCCCTCTCCCACCTTTCTTTGAGCGTGCGTCCGTCTGTATCTGGATGAGCGTGTGTGCGTGCGTACAAACCTTAGCCAGAACGGTTTACTTACCACGACACTGAAGTGAAGAATGGTATTTTCCTGGTACACGTCAAATGGGTCGTCAGCGTTCACAATATAGATCTGCGTCCCCGGGGAAACATCCTGTCACAAAAAGAGAAACACAATATTGACAAAAAAAACTTCCTGAATATATTGTGGAGCAAATCTAAGGGTGCTTTCCCAGAGATTTAGATCGATCTAAAGATTAAGTTTTAGATCGACCTAACTCCCTGGGGGTTCAGGCTAAATTGCAGTCAGCCGAGCGGACACCATAGTTAATTACCCCCTTAGCGCTTTTAGTAGGCGGGACAGACGCTTAAGCCGGCCATGCTGACAGTAATCTAGTGAGACTCCCCACAGGGATAGATCGATCTAAAAATCTATGGAAATGGGGTGTAAGGCACTCCGTTTATTTGTGGCGACACTTGGGTAGTANGGCTATGATATTTTAGCAGTTTTTGCTAAGGTATAACAATTCAACCTCTTTTTTGTTCTTTTCTTTTTTATTCTATTCCAAATGCCGTCTTTCTGCTCCGATTGCCCATAGGAACCATGTGAACCAATTTTCATTACGAACTTGTCTCCAAGAAGTTCACGTGAGTTTTGCACAAATTTACCTGTTTTCATTTCCACTTTGAATTTGCCAAATGCGTCGCTGTCCAGGAGGTACATGACTTCGTTGTTGGGAGCTGTAGCGTCTCTATCCAACGCTGTCACGGAGCCGATCATGTTGCCGGCCTTCACGTCTTTACCGACCTCAAACACGGGCATGGCGTCCTGCTGGAACACTGGGGCGTTGTCGTTCTCGTCGTCTAGGGAGATCTTCAGCCTGGCGGTGGAAGACTGGCTGGGAGACCCTTGGTCTGATGCCACTACCTGTGTGGAAATAACCTGGACCTTTCACAACCCGCTACAACCACAGGACTCACTTCCCTTACAAATAACCAACTGAACTACTGTTAAAACCAATTACTTGATTGCTTAACAATCTGATCCGTTCTCATTCTTAGTAAAAAGCCCTCGCTTCTGCGTGAGGGTTTTAAGTTTATAAAGAATTTTCAGTAAATTTTTCACCTGAAACTCATAACTGGCTTTGCCCTCCCTGTCGAACTGGCCCACGCCTGACCCACTCACTGCCACCATGCCGGTAACAGGGTCAATGGAGAACATGTCGCTGTCAGGACCAGTGAGAGAGTACCGCACAGTCTTGTAAGCCGGCTCCTCGTCTTTGTCCGTGGCCATGATAGGCTGACTCTAAAGGGAGCGAAGACAAAATTAAAATATTGCGAATTTCACATAGCAAACAGAGATATAATAGTCATTTTCAAAGTTCAAAGCTGCATTCAAAATACGTGTATAAAGTGGCCCAATGTGGCGTAGTATATTTTTGAAATATAATTGTAAGTTTAAATGATGTGGTTCAAGACGTCGCAGTGCTCTTACCAATCGAACCATCTGGCCTGGTTTTGGCTTCATATTATCCTCCATGATGAAGCCCTCATAAGAGGACTGCGAGAAGACAGGTGCGTTGTCGTTAGAATCGTCCACCAGCACTGTCACCTTGGCTGTGGCCGTCTTAGACGGTGTGCCGCGATCTGTGGCCGTCACAGTGAACTCAAAGCCAGCAACACTCTCACGATCTAAACTCTGGAGAGTGAATATCTCTCCGTTATTCACATCGATCCTAAATGGTACTGAAATGATACATGTTCGTCTCTGTAATTCTGCTTCAGTTCTAAAGCCGATGACCATTTGGCATTATCTAAAGTAATGTGCTTTATATTTCTTTATCTAGATAAAGCAATATATTACACACGACTAATTGGATTAAATTATGTGTAGCAAATTGATTTATCCAAAAAGTTAGAATCTCTCGATTTTTTTATTTAAATTAAATCAAAATGATGAAAAACCCATTCAAGTCCGTTCGTTAATGCGTTAAAAACGGAGATTTAAACTAGAAATGAGCGCACGTGGAGGTTAAGTGTTGCAACTGCTGCCGTTTACCTCCAGGTTCTATGATGCCGTATCTGACGGCGTTGGGTACCGTGATATCCCCTCTCGCTTTGGCCAGGGGCTCGTCAATGGTCACCAGTTCATCGTCTTCAGTCTCTCCCTTGGACTCAAACCTCAGCGAGATCCCACCTAGGTTAGGTAACACGTCAGAAGGAGCGCTCTCCGGGTCCACGGCAACCACCTGCCCGACAAACGTGTTGATCGGTTCATTCTCCCTGACGTGGAATGTGTATTCCGGTTTTCTGAAGTACGGAGCCTGGTTAATAGGGACGTTGATGGTCACCGTCGCCGTGTCCTTCTTCCGTGGGACGCCGTTATCAAAGACATCTACGGTCAAGTTGTACTGGTTCTTGATGACGTCTTTGTCGAGAGGTGTCACTACGGTGATTTCACCTGAAATAAGACAGGATAACACTTTGAAAAAAAAAAAGATAAATCGATGTCATATTGAAAGATGGTAAGATTTCCCAGTTAAAAAAAAGAAAGTTATTTATTGACATCCTGCGGTGCCACACATTAACTTCACATAAAATCTAAAGAAAAAGATGCATTTTTTTTATTATGGTAGCAAAAAAATATCAACTGTATAGCCATGAGAGCATATTCTACATGTAATTCCTATCTTTGTGTACAACGTGTATCTATTAACATCTCACCTGTGTTAGGGTCTATGTGTGTAGTAACATCTCACCTGTGTTAGGGTCCACCTCAAACTTCCCACCGCCGCCTCCCTTCAGTATGTACACCAGCTGCGTCTTGCCGTCACCGTCAGGGTCCACGGCGAAAATCTGTCCCACCACAGTCCCCGGGGGTACCACAGTGTCCAGGTCAAACGTGTACTTGGACTGGGTGAACTTCGGGGCGTTGTCGTTGACGTCTTTGACGGTGATTTTCAGAGGACTGGAGTCGGTCTTCCCACTGCTGTCAGTGACGGTGACCTGTGGGATATTGTAAGCAAATGAAATGTATTTCATGTTTGGTTCAACGATAGAACTCGTGCAGTATGTAACTGAGCAAAAATCAAAATTGTGTTTCAGTGAATTCACATTTTGTATACATCTGACCACAGGCTATATATCACTGTGTGCTCTTGATGCGTGCCATCACCTTCAGACGGGGTTGCTAATTAAATTAAGACACAAGTGTCAAAATGGAATGGGCAGAAATGATGATACATGCACAAAGTACATTTGCCTCTCATGCTAACTACAGATGGTACTAACCCGGAGATTATACTCTTTGGTTTTTTCGGAATCAATGGCCCCCGGTTTCTTCACTGTGATGCGCCCGGTTTTAGGGTCGATAGCAAATATGTCGCTGCCAGGCCCGGAGAGAGAATAGCGGACCTTATCTGCATCTACGAGATCGGAGTCTGTGAAGCCCAAAGGCAAGCTCTGGAAATAAAACGTGTGTAAGATGAAAAAAGAGATGCAGAAAACGTGGCGATTAATTGCTGCGAAATATTTCATTCTATCAGATTTTGAACGTGGTTCGAAACTTTTTTCTAAGTGTCAACTCTATTTGAAAAACTCTATCGTATCCAATCACTGCATCCAGATCAATCTTTGAAATATGTTCGGTCTATATATCCGGTGTATATCCGCCATTATGAGACTCAGTGTGTTATCTTTAATTTGAATGTTTTTTAACCAAAAGCTGCTAATGTCTTATAAGTGACGTAACATAACATATCTCATCCTATATCATGCTATGCCTAGCAAGCGCGTCATCTTGCCTTTGGTTTTTATCCGATTCTTTCGTTTAAGTACACGCGGTTCCATACTGTATATTACCGTTGGTCTAATGCATCATGGCTACCTTTGGATCATAAAACGTTTTCAGAAAACCGTTTCAATCACTGCTCTTATAGATACTTTATCTTTGAACTTTAACATAAGGGGCAAATAAAAGAAGACATCATGTAACAAGTAACTGTATGGTGACGTACTAGGATGACTTCCTGGTCCGGGATAGGCGTGACGTCATCCTCGGTCACTTCTCCCGTGTAAAAGCTGGCCGAGAGTTTTGGGGCGTTGTCATTGATGTCGTCTAGTATTATCTCCACCGATGCGTAAGACTGAAAAAATAGACAACGGTGACCATATGCTTCGTACTGCCACAACACAAAAATAATTGCTTAAAACACTTGACAAGAAATATTAATTGAAATGAATGTAAGAAATTTTGCAGAGACGATACAGTTGTCGTTTTAAACTGTAGTGAATTTATTTTAAGTAAAGATCAAAGTTCCAAATCTGGCTGCACGTACTTACCTCTCTAGGTACGTCGGCCATATCTTTGGCCCCTACCACAATACCGAACATCTTGTTGACCTCTCTGTCTAACAACTCGCTCTGTTTCTTCACAGTTATCCTGCCGTTCTGAAGGCAAAAACCACACTCTTATTATGGTTGTATTCGTGAAAGCAAATAAAACTATGCTTGAATGTTGGCCATGTAGGTCTCATAAACTTAAAAGTAGACTTTTGGTCATACAAGCAGATTGTATTTAAATTAAATGCAAATTTAGATTACGTAATGAGATTCACTGACATCAGTTTACCAAGCACCACACCCGTGAAGTACCCGGATGTCACTGACCTGGTCGATATCAAACACATCGGAGCCAAACCCGGGCACGAGGCGGTACTCAATATCTCCGTTGGAGCCCTTATCAACGTCGAACGCTGCCACTTCTCCTACGAAGGTCCCTGGACTGGACTCCTCAGGGATGTGGAAGGTATACTGGTCCTGACGGAACTGGGGAGGGTTGTCGTTAACGTCCTTGATGATCACCGTCACCGTAGTTTCAGCCGTCTGGAAAATGAACATGGAATTTAGCTTTGAGAGTTTATGAAACGCAAAATGTTGAATAATATATGTATGGGTATGCGAAATTTTTCTTACATCAACATCTTATGGCTAATTTATGAGCAACGTTATATATTCTTCAATATATCGGAAATATTTTGATACGCATAAAAAATACATGCAAATACAAAATATTTATTCTCAAACTTACATATTTGCCGTCAGTTACTCGGATTTGAAGCAAGTGTTGGTCTTTCTCCTCGCGATCTAGTTCCTTGGCGGAAGTAATCCAACCGCTTTGTTATAGAAAATGGATAAAAAAACATATCAGAACACACTTCAAAATGTGTATGAAAATTCATAGATTGAACGTCTTTTACCATATATAGGCCTTGGGTGGAAACTAAGAAAATGAGTAAATACTGTTTAAAAACTTTTGTTCATGCTGTAAGTTAACAGAGTGTTGTCTAATATATTATACGTACGAGTTGGAGATTTCAAATATACCATCTTCATTGCCAGAGATGATGTCATAGGTCAAAAAGACGTCCTCGTCACCATCTTTATCGGTTGCCTGGAAAAAGAAAACCAAGTTTGCACACACTCCAAATATTCACTGGAAGATTACTCTACACTTGTATTTATGGTATCATTTCAGTGAATTACAACTGGAGTGTTATGCCCTCATACCGTAGTTTGTGCTATAAGTGTCCCGATGAAGGATCCTTCTGGCACGGTCACTGTTTTAGGCGGGCCAAATACCGGAGGATAGTCATTGGTCTCCTCAACTGTCACTGTCACTGGAACGCTGGCTGTTCTGTTAGAGATGAAAAGCGATTGTAAAATGCTATTTGGAATATGATTATCAACATAAATAAATGAAAAAGTGACAATTAACAGATATCCACTGAAAAGGCTTCGTCTTAACTCCCAAGTGTTTCATTTACTATCAATTTTGAGTGTTACTTTAATAAAGCAGGTCAAATAATAAGCATGTACAATGGTAAATAAGACAATAAATTAGGTCGAAGTGAATTACAAGAATCCTTACAAGAAGTGAATGTTTACTACTTGCTGAAAATGACGTCACGTCATTACACTTCTAACAGGAAATGACGTCATTACTTCACTAACCTTCTCACTGAGGCGTCGTGCGGCGAGTCCGTCACCACCACATTCATGGAGTAAGTTGGGAAGATCTTCTGTCGGCGCAGCTCCTTCAGACCCGTGGTCAGCCTGATGTAGCCGTTCTCGTCGATATTAAACCTGGTAAGATCGATATCTTCTGCCGGCCCCGGATCCCGCGTGAGGTCGCTAATGGCTAGCTTGGTCTCACTGAAGTGGTCCGTATCTGGGTCTGTGATGACGATGTTATCGCCTTCCTGGAAAGCCACAATCATTTATCATACCTCTATCCCTTATATATATTTATTTTAATACACTGCAACTTGTCAGCCCCATAGGAATACAAGATCCCCGCTTTAGTTTAAAGATTGCCTATTTCGTCTTTAATCAACAAACTTCATCGAGCACCTTTCCAACCTGATTAGCCAATATTTAACATCCATCGTTTTGTAAACCAAGTCCTAAGATACAACCTGATTTTAATATTTGTCTGAGTCTCTGTCCTTCTCACCTGCTGTACTGCCGCCCCGACCTCGTGCTTGTCTTTGATGGTGTAGGAATAGGAATTTCTGTCAAACTGTGGAGTGTTGTCATTGACGTCTAAAATCGCTATATTAACAGTGGCATCAGGATCACTGTCAAAACGCTCTGCAGATTCGGTCTCCTGAGCTTTTACCTATGGGGCAGGTGATAAAAATACCTACAGATTTTGTGTTTTAAGACTACCTTCAGCTGACATCAAAAGATCAGGTTCAAGCAGACGACATTCACACCTTTTACCGCCTGTAAGTACATCACATTATACGCGTCTTTTTCTATGTAACATACGTCTAGAAATCAAATTAACAGTATTTAAATAAGCCAGTCAAAACTTGTTGGTCCCGTGTTTTCTGCATAAAACAATTACACACGCACCAAAAAAAAAAAAATAAAAAATAAATAAATAACTATAACCATGACAGACTGATATACTAATCTGAAGTTTTATAGTTAGCTTACCGTCAGTGTTATTGACGCCAGTTTTTCTCTGTCTATGAACTCAGGTTTTAAAATTGTGATTTCTCCGGAGTTGGGATCAATTCCAAAAGCACCGTCTGGGTTGTTCATCAGCTGGTATTCAAACACTGCATTTGTTCCCTGAAAAGACGCGGTGAATTAGAAAAAAATATTATCGTAACTAAAAGAACAAATTCAGTTTGCTTTAAATAACAGCTACAGTATCAAGCACCTTTTAGCGCAAATTTTGTCTTAATCTAAAAAGATCCGTACATAGACTTTGTAAACAAAGGGCGTTAATCAATCCATCTGACAAGAATACACAGATCTGACTGGGATACTTTCATCCGGGGTTTTTTGGCCTCTGTGCTTTTCTCGGTTTCTGATACTACACAACAAAATTAGAGCCACCTTATAACCCAGCCTGGTCTTATCCTTACAAAATCGTTGTCCTCTGCCTCCACTTGTACAACTATGTCTCCCGCCTTGGCGACGGGACTTTCTTCTATCTGAACATCATAGATGATCTGTTTGAAGGACGGGACATTCTGGTTGATGTCCAAAACCACCACGTGCAAGGTTGCCGTGTCTGTCATGTCCTCTTCTTCGCCTTGGTAAGCCTAGATAGATTAAGACATTCTAACTTCCTAAAACTGGGATACAGTGGAGATGATTAAATGAGTACCTATTGCAAAGAAATCGTAATCAAGACAGTCGTTTAAGGAGAGCTGTTTCACCTAGGGTTTCAGTCATTGTGGCACCGGCAATATCGTACTGATATTTCATGTCGCCTCTAAAGGATTCCCCCAAAAAGTGCTCGATTTCCACTTCAAATTTATTAGATAAAAGATAAAATGCTAGATGGATTATTTACACGACTTATGCTTTTAAAGAGCTGACGGCAAATGATCTTTCCAATACCTGTATGGTAAAAGTAAAGTTAACAAATCGTGGTTGCCCATTCTCGTCGATAGATCGAGGGATTGCTTGCTTCTGGCACAATCTACCGTCATCTTCATTCAGACGGAAAAACGCCTCCCAATAGTTGGCGGTCCCAGGTCTGCCTACGAAAACAATTGACGGGCCGTTCATTAAATTACCACAGCAAATAATCTGCTTCTAACTTAAGTAGTACAGTTACCAAATTGTTGCCAAGAATGGCTGTAATAATGCCTATTATGTCCCGTACACGCCCGTATAATGTCAACACCGACAGTGTGACAACACTGTAAATTGTTACCTTGCTGTGAAACTAGGTATGCTACAAAAACTTACATTGATTTCTCAATTAGTTTGTGTGATTTTATTACGGTTTGTATGTTTTCTTTGTTATTTTGGTACTTTAAGTGACTTCTCCATTTGGAACTCCCGTCGTCTAACGCGAGACTTGAATCATCGAATGGTAATTGAGTAATACAGCGCGTGATTGGATGAGGGATTCTGAGTGGTGACTTTGTCTTACCATCTATTATTCTGTATTTTATGGGCCTGGATTTGGCTTCATCTTGGTCGACGGCATAAATACGAGGTGTGGTTTCAAAGCAGTCTTCACGATCCGACTAAAACAAAACACCAAGTCATTTCAACATCATATTGGCATAGGCCTACAGCATGCAGTATAATTATACATAACGTTGACACTCTTAAAATGAATAATAATAACAATAATAATATTAATACTTGTCACCATCTTTATGTTTGAGATACCATTGTTGGTTTATTTATTCATTGGTTATATATCAAAGCAGAAATATAAGATTTAATAGTTTATATACATTTGCATGTCGCCCAATTCCCAATTTCTTAAATTTTGCATGCGACACATCATATGTTACATAAAAGATTAGAAAGCGGACATACAGTTTTTATGGATACATGTTATTGAAATGCAAATAACATAAAAAAGACCCTAAACAGACATGTACAAAATGAACTAAACATACACAAAGGCAGTTGTATACATACATTGGTCAACTATAAAACGGCTATGTTAACATTTATGTATTGCAAACAAATGACTATTTCCATTTTCAAATTCACGCAGGCAATTTATAACCTGAAAACAATATAATAATGCAGATGTTACTCAGCAAAATCACCACAGCGGGAATGTCGTTATATAGAGCACATGGTTTCGTAGTACAGTCGTATTATTCTGTCATGCACTTAGCAACAACAGTAGCAGCAGCAGTAAATACAGTATATATACAGAGCTGATCGTTACCTGTGTCCACTTACCACAATGGTTTTATTGTCTATTTCACTGGTCCACTACACGCAAGAAAAGTATGGAATAACAACCGTGATAATAAACAGTGTGAAGAGTATATTCCCAGACGCTGAGATATGATTCATCAACTTGGGTGTACGATTTTGCAGAATTGGTGAATTGAAGAGCAGTGTGGTTAAAATCACTGAATTAACACTCTAGAGGCGAGGAGCGGGCTTTCACCGCCGAGATCTGTTTCCTCTTTAATCGTGACAGGCGAACATTTGCTATAATCAATTCAATTTATAAGTACATAGGCATGAGTCATGACGATTTGACTTTAAGGTTAATCTGATCATCGAATCTAGGTCCCATTATTGGCTTTCTACTACAACGGTATAGATACTATTCTTTTCCTGTGAATGTAACGTTTTCTCTCTCTCTCTCTCTCTCTCTCTCTCTCTCTCTCTCTCTGTGTGTGTGTGTGTGTGTGTGCGTGCGCACGCGCGCGCGCGCGTGTGTGCATATCTCGCGCTTCCGCGTTCTTACAAATAAGCCTCGTTAAGTATTTTTTATCATAATATGAAGCTTACCTGAATTGGTTTCTCTCCGATGACTTCAGCATAATAATCCGTTTCCAAAAATTTTGGCCCCAGATCGTCAACGTCCTTCACCCTGATGGTAAGAGTAGAGTCGTTGAACTGGATCGGAAACCCTTCATCCTGCAAACAGACAGTTGGAAAACGATTTAAACAGATCCACGTGTAATTTTTTAAAACTAACCGCAGACCTCGTTGTCGACCTGTATTTTCAGCAGCAATCTAATCCTATCGTAAATTTTTTTTTTTTCAACTAAGGCGCCTTGAGTCCCATTCACTTTATATTAACTCAAACCATTTTGTTAAATTCCAAGAATCAGTCAGATTTCTTTGGTTGCAACCCCTGTGCGTAATCCGCCTTCTTTCCGCCATCTCTACTCGTGCGGATACATCCCATTACCGCCGAGATCAGCTGATCGCATCCCACGTGATCAGATACTAGATATGTTCCTTATTTATTTCCTTTCATTTGAATTAGGAACCAGGGCAGTAAACAAGAACTTACCTCCACAAAAACATTCAACTTATACTCTCGTGCCCCGGCGTCATAATCCAGTTCTTCTTCTAGATCTATCCTTCCGTCATCAGAAATTGTGAACACGGTCCGGTTTTCATATTCTCCATCTGCTTCTATTCCCTACAGACCAAGGAATATTTCTGATTAAAACATTTCTGTGTTGAAGTACTGAATGACTTTTAATAAAATAATTTCATGGATCTCGGACCAGTTACATATTGACAGAGAAGTGTATACTTCCCTCATATATCTCATCTGAATGATGTAATTAATAAAGAATGCATTGCTAATGTGATTTCCCCATCCCACTGCCCTCTCCCCCCTTTCTTTGAGCGTGCGTCCGTCTGTATCTGGATGAGCGTACGTGTGTGCGTGCGTACAAACCTTAGCCAGAACGGTTTACTTACCACGACACTGAAGTGAAGAATGGTATTTTCCTGGTACACGTCAAATGGGTCGTCAGCGTTCACAATATAGATCTGCGTCCCCGGGGAAACATCCTGTCACAAAAAGAGAAACACAATATTGACAAAAAAAACTTCCTGAATATATTGTGGAGCAAATCTAAGGCACTCCGTTTATTTGTGGCGACACTTGGGTAGCAAATGGATTTGAAAAAGCAGTTTTAATAACTCAAAAAACAATAAATAACACAATATATTTCAAATACGCTATCTTTTGTAGTTGACTTTCTTTTTGACCGCAAGAAATCACCTGGCGAATTTCAGGTAAATCGAAAAGATGCCTCTCCTCCTGACGACTAAATGAATACAATGTTAAGAACGACATCGGCGTCGGCTTCGACCGTTCGATGCAGGTGATCGTTATAAATGTAGATTAGGTTTAGGGGGAAACACTTTGTACCCTGAGTAAGAAGGTAGCAGTTGAGTTGACCTGCAGGTTAACGGGGATACGTTGAGCGCAACGCTGGATATTCAATAAGTTGACGGAAGGTGTAAAAAGGACATATTTTTCGGTATTCATTGTACCTCGTCTATTTCGATGGTAGCAGGAAGGTTTCTGAAGACAGGGGGGTCATTCCCGTCCCCCACGGTGACCTCTATTGACACGTCCAGGGAAATGGGCAGCTGGAAAGGAACCATCAACAATGAGTTACATGTTGACATCACGGCATAAGGAACAGGTTTAGGTCCTGTGCAATTTCTTAAAGACAAGCGTATTCTAACGTAATTTATGGCCATGTTTAAGTGTCACTTTCATCCACTTAAGCGACGGAAATGAAGTGTTAACAAAAACGCTAACATGGATGACTTAATTTGAATGTTACGTAGAGCGCTCTGGCATTTTGAAAAAGACATACGAAAAAATTGAAGCAGACGTGATATAGTTTCGGCAATGAAGAAAAAAGCGCCTACTCACCGCTAAGATTTCTACATAATCCTCACATTGGCCGTAGAGCGTTAATTTTTCTCCCTGAAAATAGAAATATTTTTTTATTGAGAATAATGTGTAACGAAGGCAATTAAACTATCGCTTCATCATAGTAACAAGATACAGAACACTGCAGATTAAAGAACAAGAATCACTGTAATCCGATAATCCTTTCGACTAAGGGGTTATCTAAAAGACGGATCAAGAACAAACTCGTTACAAGTGTGACAAATTTGAGAAAAAAGACATATATCACTTTAATGGGGTAGGTTTTCGCATTTTAAACAAGTGTTTTTGATACCGAGTAACTCGGTTCCTGTTTCACAAAACGAATTGTCCGGAATGAAGTCGAACATCGGTCTTAGCAAAGAAATCTTGCCGAATAATTTAATTTGAAGGCCGTTTACCTGTTTCGTTTCTTTCTGTCTTCTTACTAACACCTTCAGCAGTTTTTTTGTTTAATTTTTTTATTCTGAAGGCTGACAATAACCCATACAGGTATGTCAACAGCATTCGCTATGGGACAATGGTTTCTAAATAGATCTTTACTAATGTTGCAAAGTCGACTAAGCTGCCCATCGAAGTTAAAACTTTTCCTGAAACTGGTCCCGACACATAATTATAATGAATTTTCTCCTTACCCTGAATGGTCGTTGATTAACCTGAGCCCTCAAGGTGAGAGTTGTTGGATCAAACACTATCTTGTCTATATCTCCGCGGGAAAATTGGACCCTAGTCCTGTTGGACGGCGAAGGCTCAAACTGGAACAACACACCACCTAGAAAAAAAGAGAGAAAACTGGCAGAAACCGGCTTGTTATCGTCTAAAGTAAAATCACCGAGGACAGCAAAAGGCTGTCTGCGGAATCACCAGCGTGGAGGATTTCACATGTTTGCCTGTAACTGTCTCGCCTCATCAGTGTCTCTGTTCTGGTAGGAGTTGAGGAGGTAATTCCAGAGCTGAAGGAGCTGAGAGATTGGCGCCCGTATACCATCACTATAAAGGCATCACGCCTCTTGTTATTGCACGCCGTGTTCAATAATTGTCAAAAGAAAAAATAGGGTTAGATATGTTTCCAGCCAAATTGTCCCCCAGAGATTTACTGAATGGAACTGAATCTTTTACAACTTTTTGTTTTTACACATTTTGCTTTACTCACTATAGATACCAACAGTTCTTCCACCAAACATAGGCCTACCTGTCGCAATGTACTTATTGTGCTAATTCAGTAGCTTTCTTTAAAATTGCATCTTATCCCATTAATATTTCCTTATTCGCGTTTTTTATTTGTTTGTTTGATTGTTGCTTTACTTTGTTCTAATGACAAAAAACTTATGCATTTTGTTCTCAGTAGTAGAGTTACCATTTAGGCCTCTCTCGTGTTAGAGAAGTTAATTTCACTTTTCAGGACAATCTTTCCCAACAACTCGGTCAGCTTGCATAGAAGCTGTTCCCGTATTCTAGCCAGCAGGACAGATGATATACTTAGACAGATAAACGTCGGTGCTATTACCAACGCCACGGAGACCTAATACATCTGCCTTTGAACAAGGTGCTAAGACGCCTGAAAACGTGAAAGAACAGAATACCATTCTGGCATTAATTTTTCAATTTTGGAACCTTTCAACTGACCTTTTTAAGCAATATTGGAAGCAACAGAAAGCATGCTTTTCATACTGTTCGGATAACGAGTACCGGTGTTAGGTTAAAACGTGCACGTCCTGCTGCCTTCTTGCGAACACGTGCAATTCCAGAGGTTGGCTGTATATAAAACAAAACTTCTTATAATGTGGTATCATTGATCATTAACAGCAATATGCGTCACAGTGTAGTGGTCAAAGATTAACTTGATTAATTCGGAAAAAACTCAGCAAACCGAATCAAACATTGACTCTAACCGCAAAAGCCAAACTGAATTTAAAGATTTTTGTTTGTAATCTGATATCTAACCTAGTTTTTGGTAAATTTTGTTAGAAAGAGAAACCGTTTCCACAGTGACGGATATAAATAAAATTCTAGATGGTTGTTGAGCCCAGATTCAAAACTGAAGCACCTGATTTGATCGGCTCAATTACTGAATCTAACAAACGATTAGATTAGACTGAATAAAAAAAGCTCCTTCTGCTTCAAATCTGAGGGTAGAACTAGGTAAGAATTCTTGCCTCAAAATTTACTAGTACAGTCTGCTTAAAACTAGGCTGATAATAACCAATAGAATTAACGCTACAAGTTTAAACATCTTATCCAATTTTTGCTGTTAAGTTCAAATTCGTTATTAAAGCTGCCAGGCGTGGCGGCTATGAGTCATCAAACTAGTAACCAAATTGTTCCATAGACTTTACTTCTAACCAGAGGAACTGTGAAACAGAAACATTTCTCCCTCTGTGGCGCAATCGGTACCTTTGAAGCGGAGTTAAGATTGGCTTTAGCACGCTGACATTTTATTAGGTAATGTTGTGTGTACTGGCGTGAAAGGTTTACGCAACTGATTTCCGCTACTATTGCTAAAACCCATCGTGGCATGAGGCAATGAAGTAGAATGGAGTACAGGGAAAGGCTGCCAGCAAATGGCCAGAACAATGGGCAGGTTTGAAGTCAAGAAGGTTCCAAACGTTATCTTGTGGCAATAAAAGCCGCTCTTCAATGGCATCCCTTTAGTCTCTTTTCTGCTGTGCCCTAGACATTCCATTGACTTTATATATATTGACGTATCTGTCCGATCTGCCCAGATAGGTCGCCGTAAATCTTGTAACGCTGGCGAAGTAACGATGTGAGTTATTTGCCTTCCAGTGCCGGTGAATGGGCTCTTGGAGGCTTAATTTGAAACATGGGCATCGCGTTAGGAGATGTTTGTGTTGGCATCTCGTCCTCAAACCGCAGACAACAGACCGATACAGCAGCACACCGAGGGCACAGCGCTGTCCGGCCGGAGGAGATCATGGAGATGAAGTCTATCCATGAGATGGGCGGATCCCTCGGGTAAAACGTGGCATTATGTTCACCAAGACCTTCCACAGCAAGCCCCCTCAGGTTGAACACCTTTGCACCCTAAACAGTTTTCAGTATTGATTCCACACTATTCCGTTTTTTCTAATCTGTGGGTTTTCTGAATATACGTACTTCCCATATGATAAAATAAGGTCTTTCAGAATCCAGCATGACCCTTCCCGTAATATGCCATAAACTGGGTAGGTAGGTATATGTATACGTTGTACAGTGGGGGTACTGCGTCAATCTGTCTTTACATAAACAGAAAGAGACATACATTTGTAGCCCACCTTCATACCACTATCCCAAATACACACATATCCACATATCTATTTTATTAAAGACCCCTTTCCCATACCTACATCGATCTAAAAGGATCGATCCATCTCCGAGGGGTTTCTCACTAAATTGCTTTCAGCTTAAGCGGCTTAGATGTCTGGCACTCCTACTGAAGCTGCTAGACGGAAGTTAATTACCCCTAACGGCTTCAGTTGGTGTGCCAGACACCAGCGAGAAACCCATCGGAGATGGATCGATCCTGTAGTATGGAGTGGGGTCTAAAACGAATACGTCCATAATCTATACTCACGCAATCCATACCATTTCTACATACTGGATACAGATGCAAAATTTGCTTAATATAGGGGGCTCCTGTTTTCTCGTTATTGCTTCTTTGGGCCACTTAAGCTTTAAGCAATTTATCTTTCTGGACCTCGTTATTCTTCTAAAAGCTATGACAACGTCAGTTACTCCATGCACTGCGGATTTACCATCATCAGCCCAAGGTGGAGGCTACAGTACTAAAGGTATATATATAGTGGGCGAATCTTTGGTCGGAAATTCCCCGTGTAAATTCAATAGTATTTTAGAAGTAGCGGGAAAATCACTGACGCCAGATACTACCATGAAACGAATTTGGATCTTGCTTTATATTCAATTTCAATATCACGTAATCCATTCCCTTAAATAGCACACGTTTTTTGTCATAGAGTGTGTGTGTATATATATATATATATATATATATATATATATATATATATATATATATATATATATATATATATATATATATATATTTATTTATTTATTTATGTATTTATTTTTTATCAGTGATGTCCCGACATATCATCTCTATAATATTTCAAAGATTGAATTTTTGAAGGTTCTCAAAATTGAGGAATTGAAGTCAACTGATGGAAACTGGAGTTGACAGGTTGTTCAACTTTGACACAAAAAATTAGCCCTCTTTTCCTTAAAGAAACAAGATCTACTGTTGGGTTCGGTAATAAAAATGTATTAAGACTAAGCACATGTGATTGTTTCCTTCCCCCTCACGATATCCACGCTTTATTGCGGCATAAATCTTGTAAATGGTAATCTACTGGGACAACTTACAAATATAACCAATGTAGCGGAAAAGGTAATCGTTACATCTCTCATTGAAACTCCCAAAACATTTATTTTTCATTTTGTGCAGCCGGGTAGTCTCACAGCGGGCATGTTTTATCGCAACATCCCAGGGTTCAGATAGAGTCCGCAGTTTGGTGACCGCCTACTTCAAGTTTGTCCTGCGGCAACCAGAAGTGTTAAACCAATATTTATGTTACACGTTTTAAATGTGCTAATCAGAGTCAATCGCTGTATGTGCTGCACCGGTAGTTGTGTAATAGCGTCCTCAGTACACTTCATCAATTGTTGGGTTCTGTTCTGCCGTTGCTTCTCAAATGTCTGTTCACTCTCAGAAAAAAGGGCGTGGCTTGTTGTTATAACCAGAATGTTGTTATTTCTAAAAACTTTTAGCATTACTTTCTAAACTTGCTTACAACCTTTTCCGCACAAAGGCATCAGAGTTAATGATGAGAATTGCTCAGAGTTAGGATCTTCACGATTTATAAATAAATAAAAAAATAATAAAAAAAATATCAAGTCCGGGACATTGACACATTGTCCGGCTAACTTTGGATTGTATAATATAAGAAAATGAAAAGAACAGCAAAGTTCTTTCTTTGAAGGGAGGTATTTTTCTCAAGCAATAAACAAGGCTAATCCCTAGCCCTCGTGTAACGTATACATACTTTCAATGTTACATTTCTGTTCAAACAAAGTGGTTGCCTCTTCGTCGATCTTTCACTTGTATCTAGTTGTTATATTGCCATTTGAACGAGTACAGTTTAATAAAACGCCCCGCTCGCTGTAGAAATGTTCGTATTTTGCTGAATCCAAATCCAAACCGCAGGATTGCACAGAATAAATTAAGGGAGCCAATAAATGACAGAAGGTCTGAGCCATTACCCTGGGGGGGGCCGGGACTTTCAGCAAAGGAAGTCAGTCTAGCTGCGGTCATGTTATTTTACGTAATACAACATTTTGCAAGACGATTATTCAGATAAAAACAAAGGCTACTACCGAACATGACCGATCATGACCGAACACGACCGATTTTGACCCACTGTTGACGCCTAACGCACACGTTACAGTGAGGCTTATAATCATGAACACAGTATAGCCTCAGAGGTTTGAATGTACCCGCTTAATTCCTTACACATCGTTGCAGCCTCTATATGTATATGGTTTGCAGTAAGACGTGGAATGATTTTGCGCATTACTATAATTTGCAGAGCGACTGGCAGTTGACTATTGCCTTCCGACGTCTGCTGTTGTTTACGCGAATATAATACAAAAGTCTTCAAAAGTGCCTACATAATAATTTAACATACCAAGAAAATGATAGCATTTTGGGGGGATGCTCTTTTTTAAACTTATAAATCATTTTGAAAATTTTGCACAGAG